TTCTTCGATTCTGTTGACAAGCTGTCTGAAATGGAAGTTGAAATCAATCCCGGTCTACTGGCGATCATGCTCCTGTATAGTCTACCTTCAAGTTTCGAAAATTTTAGATGCGCCATTGAATCTCGTGACGAATTGCCATCACCGGATATTCTTCGAGTGAAGATTGTCGAAGAATATGAGGCTCGAAATAATGAAACACGCGCTAGAATACAGAACGCGATGTTAGTGAATAAAAGAAATTTTAATGGAAATCGTCACAATACTAAGAAGGATGGAAATTTCGGTTCTAGCAATAGTGATCCAAGTTCGCATCAGAAAGAAGTATTCAGATTTCGCTGTCACAAATGTAAGAAAGTTGGACATAAATCTGCTGACTGTAAAAAAAATAGAAACTCTTGTTCGTCAGCTGAATGTGCCGAAGACATTTGTTTGTGTATATCCGAAGTTTTTCAAACGGATTCTTCTGATAAAAGACAAAGTTGGTGCTTGGACAGTGGTGCTACGTCTCATCTATGTAATGAACTGAATAAATTTACTAACATTACTGATTCCGAACGCGGCAAACTGAAATTAGCGAATGATGTATCGACTGAAATTGTCGCTAAAGGTACTGTTTCCTTTGTTGTTGACGTTTTCGGTGAAAGTAAAAATATTCATCTGAATAATACATTGCATGTTCCTGATTTGAGAACTAATCTTATGTCAGTAAGCAAAGTAACCAGCAATGGCCATGAAGTATTATTCAAAGAAAATATTGCTTTAGTCATGGATTCTGATGGTGATGTGAAGTTGATTGCTGATCGAATAGGTGATTTATACTACGTACGCGAAAATGAACAATCATCGTGTTATGGGAACGATTCGGCATTCATCACGAGAACTCCACTAGAAACTATCAAACTATGGCACAGACGTCTTGGACATTTGAACGTGAAAGACCTTGTAGATGCAGAACGCAAACAGAGCATCATCGGTCTGAAAATAAAAAACGTTGACAGTGATTTGGAATGTGACATCTGTATTCGCGGAAAGATGACAAGAACCCCGTTTCCATGGAAATCTGAAAGGAAAACCGAAATTCTTGATATAGTACATTCCGATATCTGTGGTCCAATGAGAATCGAATCCAAGAGCAAGGCTAAGTACTTTGTTGAATTTATAGATGATGCATCACGTTGGTGCGAAGTACGTTTCATGAGATCAAGAGATGAACTACTAGAGAAAACTGAAGAATATTTTACGCTCGTTGAAAATCAGAAGGGAAAGAGAATAAAATATTTCCAGTCTGATAATGGGGCGGAGTATATGAGTAACTTATTCGATAATTTGTTGAAAAAGAACGGCATTTCAAGACGTTTAACTGTTCCCTACAACCCAGAACAGAATGGTATAGCAGAGAGGAAAAATCGCACTCTCGTGCGTACTGCAAGATGCCTGTTGATGCAGTCCGGTCTACCAGCAATGTTTTGGGCTGAAGCTGTGAATACAGCGAACTATATTCGGAATCGTTGTCCCAGCAAAAGTCTCGATGGAATGACTCCTTACGAAGTTTGGACAGGAAACAAACCTGATGTCAGTCATTTCAGAGAATTTGGTTGCAAGATATTTTGTCTGAATAGAACACCGAATAAAGGAAAGTTCGATTCTCGTTGCAAGGAGGGTATTTTCTTAGGATATTCGGAACAATCGAAAGGTTTCAGAGTCTGGATACCAAGCGAAAATAAAATTGAAATTTCTCGTGATGTTAAATTTATCGAGAATAATATATCTGAAATCGATAAATACGAAGAGTTCGTTTTAGACAATCGAACTGAATGTCATCCTAACATCGCAGAAATAGAAATCAAACCTCTTATTGACATAGAACCAGTAATTGATAACGAAACCGATGAGAATATTGTAACGGATATACAAGATGAAGAAGAAATTGATATCCAGAGAATAGAAGGAACATCCGAACCAAGAAGGGGCCGTGGTAGACCAAGACTGGTGAAAACTGGCAGAAAAGGTAGACCAAGGAAAGAATATCATGTTCATTATGAACACGAAGCTAACGAATGTGCAGAGTATTTATTTCTTTCCGAAACATCTATAAAACAAGCATTATCTGGTCCCGAATCGAACGAATGGTACGATGCTATGAAAAAAGAAATAACATCGATCATCAAGAATGATACATGGCAACTCGTTGAACGACCTAAGGATCAAGAGATTATAGGAAGCCGAATAGTTCTGAAAAACAAGTATAATTCTGATGGAACACTTGAGAAAAGGAAAGCCAGATTAGTTGCTCAGGGTTTCAAACAACAACCCGGTATCCACTTCAATCAAACGTTCTCCCCAGTCACAAGAATGAGTTCCATACGACTACTTGTTTCCCTGTCTGTTGGTTATGAAATGAAGATTTATCAGTACGACGTAGCGACTGCCTATCTGAATGGCGAAATAGATCGGAAAATTTTCATAGAACCACCTAGGCTTTTTTGTAAAATTTTGGAAAGAATCATCGACGAAGAAAATCAGAATGAAATTCATGCGAAAGCTGAGAAGATGCTTATGGAAATGAAGAAGGGAGGAAGAGTATGTCTACTCAAGAAATCTCTCTATGGACTTCGGCAAGCAGGAAGATGTTGGCATGAAAAATTAGACAGAATTTTGAGAGAATTCGGAGCAAATCCAACGAATGCTGATCCATGTCTATATCGTTTACATAAAGGGGAAGAATTGATGCTGATAGCGATTTATGTAGACGATATATTGGTAGCCTCCAGGAATGTAGATGATATAACCGAATTTGGAAAATACTTATCAGGGATATTCGAAATCAAGAGTCTGGGAGAAGTTAGTTACTGTTTGGGTGTGGAATTTTATCGAAAAGGGAACGTATTATCCATGAATCAAAAAGGATATATTTTCGATATTTTGAATCGATTTGGAATGATTGAATCGAACCCAGTGAGCACTCCCATGGAACCCAACGTGAAATTGGAGAAAAATGGCAACCCTCATTCAGATGAAGAACCTAGTTACCCATATAGAGAACTTATCGGAGCTCTAACATATTTGGCTGTCACAACAAGACCTGACATCAGTTTTGCCGTGAGCTGTTTGAGTCAGTTCAACAACTGCTACGGAGAAGTCCATTGGACTGCAGCAAAACGTGTACTCCGATATCTACGTGGAACTGTAGATTTGGGTCTAGTTTACAAGCCAGATAATTATGGATTGAAAGCATTCGTTGACGCGGATTGGGCGAATTCAACCATTGATCGACGTTCGTTTACTGGATACGTTTTTCTGCTCAACGGATGTGCAATATCTTGGGAGGCGAAGAAACAGAAGACAGTCGCCCTATCTTCGACCGAAGCCGAATATATGGGATTGACTGATGCTGCAAAAGAAGCAATATATTTGCGTCGTTTCCTTGAAGAATTGGGATTTGAGGAGCTTACCGACGTTGTGGTAAATAATGATAATAAGTCTGCTCTAAAGCTTGCTGAGAATCAAGTTTTCCACGCTAGAAGCAAACATATCGATATCAAGCACCACTTCATACGAGAAGCACTTCAGAAAAAAGAATTGAAATTGGACTATATTTCCACCGAGAATATGGTTGCCGATTTACTGACGAAGGGACTACCTAGGCCAAAGCACCTGAAATGTGTTCACCTACTGGGCCTTGGTCATCCTCCAATACTTCATGATGCCAACTACGTATCGAGGGAAAGTGTTGAACAAAATATCATTTAGTAAACCTTCGGTATACGATACGCAGTTTTGTTTAACAAAGTTATTGATATAAACGTCATTCACTTCTTGATATAAACGTCTGTATTTTATGATTAATATATCATCAGTATTTCATAGTGAAGTCCCTTTTACTAAGGTTCCTGATACACGCAGTTTATCTATTCCACAATACCTTCCCAGCAACTCCATTTTCCCTAACAATTGGGAAAATTCAAAACATTTCATTTTCACCTATCCAAATGCATGAATCTTCAAATTCAATATCATAAATTTATTAGTGGAATAATAGCATGTGGAAAAATAATAAGTACACCATATGATTAAACTTTCTGTGCACTTTCTAAATATGTAAGCGGATTTTGGAAATTTGAAAATACAGGGTGTTCTGTTTGGGGTCCAGAAATATGATCAATTGGGGTAGAAGAAGAAGGAATTCCAAAAGAATATAGTTGGTGGTTCACAAGTTATGTAGTCACAAAGAATTGAACAAAATTGATATATCTGGGATAGTGGGATATAAAACTTGTAAGACCCTACAAATATATATAGTATATTCAGAACCACCTTGATCTACCCAAAGTTGAGAGTTTTCTGTTTCCCAATGGGACACCAACACCCTGTAAAAACCTATTACCTGTGTGAAGTAAACATCATCCAGTTAAGAATAAAGCAACTAGGAATCTTTCCTTATATCAGGAGAGCAATTATTCATAATTTCTGGCAAAATTAGACCATTTGAATGAGATCTCTAATGAAAATTGAAAGCATGAGTATGATGATCAAGAATAAGGAATAAAAAAATCATTCCTAACCCATTCTGCTTGCTTAGATTTTCTCAACATGATACAAAATGGATAACAACTGAATTTCCTAGTAAACAATGAAATTACATACTGAGAGACATAATTGAAATAATCATAACAGAATATTTGAATTTAGATTTTTGTTGATTGATTCATGTACCTTTTTAGTATTGGTATATCATGCCAAACATAACCACATGTCTTTTGAGTTTTCATCTCCTCAAAATCAAGTGGAGATTAACTGCACTTCACTACTATTGGTAATTACCTATCAGGGAAAATTGTCAAGCAATTGAATTGAAACATTGAAATGCAAATGAATAATGGATAAAGAATTATTGACACAGTGTGAGTTATCCAGTGTTGAAAAGTGTTACACATTTCATGAAAGAAAAAGTATCTATATCAAGTAACATTTTAAAATGGTAGAATTTAAATTGTACCAACCTGTACATCACTCAGAAGTTCCTCCTGTCTTCTAAGCCTAGAAACTTCATTTCTTAGTTTTTCTAATTGTAAATTGGCATCTTTTAGGGCACTTGTTTTGGTGGCAATTTCTTGGTCTCTCAATAAAACTAGTTGCTTAACTTTTAATAATTCTTGGCTTTGCAAATTTCCTATTTGCTGGTTGTTTTCTTTATGTTCTAAGATTTTTGAATTGAATTCTGTAATAAATGAATAAATACATTCAACATAAATAGTACAAATGAGTATCTGAAATATATATTTAATCTAATCCATCTTTTGGGAATGAATATTATTAGATCTTTAGTGCATAACCTGTGCTCAAGTGTATTTGTATACACTTGTTTTAAAAAATCATCAAACCTTCAGCATTTTTCAGAGACTCTTTCAAGGCTTCATTATGTCTCCAAGTCTCATCTTTTTCTATTTCCAAAGCATTGATTCGTTTATCCTTGTCTCTAACTATTTCACGCCACTCTTTGTCTTTATGTTCAATTTTTCTTGCAAAGTCTGACTCTATCTTTGAAAACCTCTTTCTGAATTCCTCAGGTTCCACAGGTGCTTCATCCCTGAATCCTTCCGAGGACTGGATAGAATTAAGGCTGGACGTAGATCCCTGGGTAGAACGGCCCCTCAATGATTCGATTTTTTGAATTGTAGAAGATGTGATTTTAGAAGTTAATTTGGATAAGTCACTCCCTGTTTCTTCTCGTATTTTGTTCTTCAAAGATGCAAACATTTTATAAATTGTCTAAGCAAGCATAATGTGTCTATAATAACTGGTACTGAACTATTCCGGTAAATTTCAGCTTGTAATACTTTCAACAAAACGAACACGTAGACTGTAAACAAGATTTTTTGTAACCTTCTGATCCACTGATCCAGGATCCAGCCCTAGCCCGATTTATTGATGTGTATACATCAGTGATGTCAAAGTCAAAAGAAATTGGAAAATAAGGTTGACATCTGATGACATATCAATCTTCTTTTTTCTTAAGATATTTGCGAGTAGTGTTTTTGTCACAAAGTCACAGAAGATGGATCGTGCTAAGACAGTTGTGGCTAAATAGCCGTAAATGCTGTGAGCAAAGAAATGTAGACATGTTTTCCTTTGTTAAATTCAGTTCAAATCAAGTGCATTCTTGGTACACATCCAGAACTCATTCCACGCGAACATTATCGTAATATACAGGGTTGGGTGAAAGTCCAGGAACTGTCAAATATATCTGAAATGGAATAACACCCTGTATCCTGTATGGTGCCCTATTAGAAATTTTTTTACAATTCTTTTTTTAGATAAACAAGACGAATCTTCATAAAAAAATGTAAGAAAAAAATATGTTATAGAATAATGGGTTGAAAATTTCAACCCCTTCTAAAAGCATACGTCAGGGTTGAAAAAATTTCAAAATATGTGGTTTTATTGACAAATATTATTCACAAAGTTCCGTGGCTTCAACTTGATACTTATACAGGGAAAATAAGAAAGAGAAACCTTTTTTTTTTGTTAATCTTCGGAGAAGTGTCACTTTTCCGAGGAGAGGTTTATCAAAAAATTTTATACCAAAAATACCCACCTTCATTTTCATCACAGAATAAACCCCCTAAATGGGCTTATATCACAAAAAAAAATTTATTTCATAATTCGATAGAACTCACCCAAACTAGCTCACCACCGCAAACCGTTTCTTGCTGTGAGCTCCCTACGTTTTATAAAAAATTATTGAAATCCCCGATTTTTCGGACCTCTGAAAACGAGGCGATATGATGTGACGTCAAAACCCTAATACTGAAACAAGACTATTTCAGACAGAAATGAATGATACCATGATTTCTGACGGAGTGAATTAGCGCGAGATCACAGTTGAAAGAATTAATATATCAGTTGCCTCAGTCTCCATCGGGCGTTTGGTATTTTTTTTAACTATGGCGAGATGAGGTTTCTACGTCATAAGAGGGTCCGTTTTCAAAAGGTACTATTACTTATGTCCAAAAATAAAACATTCCAGTTAATTTTTCGATCGAATTATGTCGTCAATCATTATTTATTAGGTATATATAAAAGGATCATTATAAACATGGTTTGAGATAAAAGTTCTACTAAGGTGTACACGCCCATTCTTTCGCGGTGTTATTTATCCGTACACTTTATAAGTATATATACGCATCAGTGTCTCATCTTGTCTCAAAATAGCTGACGTCCGTGCGCGTATACGCGATTGCAACTCTGGGGGATGAAATTGTTCAGAATTGAAGTTATTTTTTTTTATCATTTGGACTGAAGGAAATCTCTATTAGGGTAGGGGGGTAGGGTAGGTTAAGTGTAGGAAATGTAGGTTTTATTATTTTCTAAATTTCCCCTTGGGAATAGAGGTAATTTCTTTGGTAAATTCCAATAAAGCTTTCCCGTTCTACAGGCCAGCGTAGCCTCGTAGTTAGAGCGTCAATAAAAATGTTCTATCCGCGTTGGATTACCGGTAGTGGGTTCGATTCCCACCACGACCGCAGAAATTTTTCTGATGGCCTAAGAAAAGTGTTGGAATCACACGTTAAAAGGTAAGACCCCCGTCATTCCTTGCTCGCACAAGTCTCTTGAAGACTTCTGAGGGTTGCTCGTAAGTGGGCGATGGATAAGGATCGAAAAATTTTATAACAATTTTAGAACAGACGAAGGAGTTTTGATAAAGAGTAGTTCGACATTTCTCGAGGTTGACGAATATACATAATATATAGCTGATAAATATCTTTTGTACATAAATTTACAAGAAGCATGATGGTTATATGGAGTAGCATACGCATATACCTGCATAATATGCCAAAGATATCGTGGGCTCGAATCCCGTAGTCCACTTTTTTTTTTCACATTTTTCGAAGTGATCAATTGACAAACTATACTCTGGTGGCATTTACTGTTGGGGCCGATATATATATGTACATTCTAATTCCAATAAAAGTTATTTCGGTCCAAGATATGTCCATCACCTGGATCGAAATGGACATCATCTATTGGAAGCTCAATTTTATGGCAAATAGATATTCAATGGATATCGATCCACTGGATGTTCCTCTGGATATAATCGGACGTCCAATGGATATTGGCAATATCCATTGTGGACATCCTTCAGACATCCATTATTATATATGTACGTGTGTAATATAAGATGCCAAGAAAAAATGTTATATTTTCATCAGTCCATCATTAAATATATTGATCTAGAATATATGAACACATATGCGTTTATCGAATCGTTACATATTGGGCATTCGGATGTTATCGCACGTCTTCGATAGTCTCCGCGCCTCATACTGTAAAACAACCACTATTCTCCGTAGTCTTACTATATGTAAAGATTCGATAAACAATCTGTATTTAATAATGAAAAATCATGAAAATGTTTTATTATGTACCTATTCAAAATTTATCTATTCACACACATACACCTATAATCGAAATAATTACAATTGTTTTTATGATAAAAAAGATATTTTTACAAAATCACATTCTAAAATAATCACATATTTACGCTACTACATTAATGGTTTCAGTTGGATGGTATGCCCAGAAAGTTCCTCCATCTTGAGCCACTGTGGCACTGAAATTGGGAGGATAAGATATTAATGATGGAACATCTATCAGATTTTTTATCATCTCAACTTACTATACGGTGTATTTCCCAGGAGCTGAAGGTGCTTTCCAGATCAATTTCAAATTCTTCTTCTCGGTTGCGTTTTTATGGGTAGCAGTACTCTGTAAATGAAATAGATATGTATATACGGAAAATAGTATAGAGAGGTATACCTATAGTTATTTGTTTTACTAGGCAGAAAAGCACAATATTGAATGCCGCGGCTGGTGTTTCATAGCCAAAGTTTAGCCGAAGAAACCAGTCAAGGTATTGTATCTTCTCTTCAGCCAAGTGAAATAACATAATTTTTTCTCCAAATTCGTTTCAATTTCACGCAAAGTCCAAATAATCCATCATTTTGTGTTCACTCAAAGTCATTGTCAATTTTGATTACGAATTTGATTCAAATTATTACTTGGATTGTCGATGCATAGCAACAAACTTTTTCTGCCTAGGCGGTAAAAGTACACCTTTTATGCCTGTTAAGTGTCATTAAAAGTGACTTCTCTTATCACTCAAGAGACACATAGAAAGTGTAATTTTACTCCCTAAGCAGAAAAAGTTTGTTTGCTATGCAAGGTTTCCAAGTAATTTGAATCAAATTGATAATCAAAATTGACAATGTCATTGGGTGAACAGAAAATGATATGGTTTCCAATGAAAAAATTTAGAAAAAAATATGTTTGGCATGGCAGAAAAGAAGATTCAGGCCTTGGCTGGTATTCTGAAACACCAGCCGCGGCATTAAATCTTGTCCTTTTCTGCCTAGTAAGACAAATAACTCTGAAGATCAATTGAGGAAATGTAGTGTGTGATAGATTTTTCCATGAATAATTAATATTTTTGAAAACAACTTCGAAATTATCATTAAAGCGCCATAGAAAATGAAACGTCGTCCCACCTGACGACAACAACTTGAACACTTATGAGCTGTTTGTTTTGATGGATGTGAAGATGTAACCAATAAGTAGAAAGAAAGAACAAATGTGAACCAATGAAAAGAAAGTCAACACACCGCTTTGGCAGCTTCCAAGAATTTCGATAGGTGGCATACGCTTGTTTTCTATGGCGAATTGTGAAAACTTCACAAACGATAAAAGAAGTCTACAAGTCTTAAAAACACGAAAACCTAACATTGACTTGTCTCACTTATGTATACTTACGAACCTAAAGGATAGAATTTCGTGTGAACAGGCTATAGCTAATCCTTCATTCCGGAAAGTATGGACAATATCTACATTAAAATCTGGTGTTACGGAATGACTTGAAAAAAGTGTCACTGAATTATTGATTTGAATTTGTTAATTCCATCTAGACCATAAATATTACAATAAATACTTTATATGTATAGGTAAATACCCATATAGGTATAGTTTTCGATTATATTTCTCATTAGTGGTATCTCGGAATCCGTATAGAGATACAAAAAAGTTCGAATTGGGACCAAAAACAAAAACATCTTGACAAGTTCCAGTGAGGTACGAGTAATGAAGTTGGCCAATTATTGACACCTTCAGACACGCTCAGATATGTATCATGTCAATAAGAACATAATGATAATTTAGGATTATGTAATTATGCAAAATAAACACCGGAATTTAAGCAAACATTATATTCTTCTACTGTATGATTTCTCGATAAATCAAAGATAAGTAGGTAAATAATATATGCAACTTCGCTGTTTCAATTTATACACTTTGTTTTCGAGAAGAGATTCCATGAATAGTTAAAAATCCGGAAACCATAATTTAAATGGAAATTGAAAAGAATTACAAAGACAATAGATATCATGGTTTCCGTAGTAAAAAATATAATTAATATTCCGATCATTATGGAAATTATCTATCTGCGAGGTTATTCGGTTAAGTGTTTATAAACGATCGATTAATTCTAATGATGAAGGACTACAGTGGCATTTCTACAACAAGAAATATGAAACACGCACACCTTCACCTTTCAGTTAACTTTTTTATAGCTAATAATACATAATCGTTTAGGCAACGAAGTCAAAGGCGTAGCTGCAAAAAGATTCTTTTTGAACATGATACGACTCGAGACGAGACAGGAATTCTTTTCAGACAATAATTCACTGACTTTTGCAGAATCGAAAAAAAAAAGATACTGACTCCTTTGAATTTCCTGAGAATGCCTTTTTTTTCACCACAATTATTCAATTACAATAACCACTTTTTGTGCTACTCTCTATACGAAACCAGAATTTCAGACAGAAATTTTCAACGTGCTCTTCTGTAATCTTCAACTCTATCATGGCATCTAGAAAAGTTCTCTATCCAAAAAAATTTCGAAAGGAAGCCATCTTGAAAATAGCAACGTTGTGATATTGTCTATTCAAAATCTTGTATGAGATTTAGATGAATATATAATATATCTGAAGTTCTAGTATCGTATAGGCGGGTAGGGGAATGAGGGACGTTTCAAATGAGGTAAGTATCACTGGACTAGAAAATTATAAAAATTCTCACTTTAAAAGCCCCCCCCCCCACATCTATATATCAGCAATTAGTAGTGCGATTCGTACAAAATTTTGACTGGTATGAATAAACATCAATATGATCTGTTTTCTAGAGACAAACATCCTATTTTTTTGAGACCCATCATAGGAATGATATGAAAATGGGGGTTTGAAACCATGAAGATCGAGATTATGAGATCAGTTCAGCTTTAAAGAAATTCAAATATGATTTCATGAAAATCGACCCCTTTTTATTTCAATAAAAAAGCCCGGGTGAGCAAAAAGTTTTTTAACCTTCGCATGTCGAGCCTCAATACTCTAAGTGAAACTCATGGGAGAATTGAATTTTCCTCATTTAAAACAAATTCCCATGATGGGTAATTGATGGGCGGACGTGCCCATCGATGGATGAGATTGTTTTTTTGAACTTCCGCGCGATATCAAGCTCAATCGTGAATGCAAAAATCATGGCTAGATGTGAATTTTTCAAGATGCCCATGGTTCATGGACAGAAGTACCCATGTGGGTATAAACACTTCTTGCCACTCAAAGATATTGCTGAAACGATGATTATTTTTTTAGTTACATTGGGAACAACAAATGTCGAATTGGACCCGTTCAGATAACTAAAATGTTTATGAACGCTTGGAGAAAGCAATCCTTACGGAGTAAATTTTTGAACGCACCCGAAGAAGCATTGATTCAGATCTTCTATACACCCTAGGTTAATCTAGTGGTTGAAACATATTGGGTTGGTCTTTAGTAGTGTTCGCTAAACATCGATTGCAACTATCGATATATCCAATAGTTCTGACTATCGAAAACCATCGATAATGTGTAGCGATAGTATCGATAGCGTAAAACTAAAGTAGATGTGAGTGGAAACTGTGATTTTTCTTTGAATCTGCAGATTTTTTGTGGACCTAAGGAAGATATGCCGATACGAAACCCTCTTTACGAATTTATTCGGACTAACCTGAGTGATACTAAGCTTAAGCCTGAAAAAGATAAGTAGAAGAGTTGACTGAGCATGCGCAATAGGTCGCGTGCACGATGACCGACCCTGGAGGCAAAATATTGGAACACAACCTCACTCTTCTGTCAATTATTGAAACACAACCTCACTTTTTCATTTGGTGACAGAGGAATCAAAGAATTGAAATAGTTTTTCACAATATTATGGCAAAAGAATCGTTTTTTTGCGCTATTCATTAATTCAAGCATGCCTTCGCATTGTGCTATTGTACAATGCACAAAAAATGCAGCGAGAGACGAAGGAATATGATTTTTCAGGTGAATAGTAATCTCACATAATTATTATTATGAAATGTTGTCATTCCTTATTTGAATTCCTTCTGTCACTTCTGCAATACAAGCTAATACTGCTAATAGATTGAAAATGTCTACAACACACACGATCATATTTCGTCAGCATGTCAGACCAGTCCTCCCACAAAAAACACGATTCGTATGCCAAAATAATTGTGAAAAACTATTTCAATCACTTGTAAACAAATAAGAAAAGTGAGGTTGTGTTTCAATGTTGTGGCTCCAGGGTCGGTCATCTGATAGTACTTGCACGCAACCCATGCATGCGCCATACGCCATATATATACGTCATTCTTTATTTTTGTCACAAGTCATTTGTTCACTCCATTCCCAGTCAATTTCATTTGAGAACCAACAAATTAGACGGAATTGTAGTTATATCGTGCCAAAAGTGTAAGAAGCGTTTAATAAAATGTAAATATTTCATCATTTTTTTTGTTTTAACCTCACATTTTCTCCGATGGAACTATCGATGATTCTTTTAAACACAATCAGAAACTATCGATAGGCAAAACAATCGATGTTTAGTTTAGGGCAATCAACTCAACACGACCCCAGCACATACGAGCGTCTCCCGACACAACCATCTTGGCACATCCAAGGTCAAATATGATTTATTGTGATTGTGATATGTCAATTATGTCAAGTGGTTCAAAATATTTTGATTTTTTTGAATAAAGGATTCGGTTAGCGCGTAGAAGTCGTAGAAATTATATTTTCCAATTGAGTATATTTCATAATTTTTTATTTGGAATGATCGGTAGTCTTTTAAATAAAACTGATTTTTAGGATTTCTTCATAACCTATTCATAACAGATATTGTTCTAGATATCGATAGTTTATTGATGTATTGAACATTTATATGTCTGAAACTTATTACATTTTTTATTTGTACTAGAATCAATAGTCCTATGTCTAATTGATTTTCTTTGTAAGTAGATCCACTTTTTTTATTGCTACCTTCATTAAAGAGTCCTTTTTGTCTCGTACCAAAATATTGACGAGATAAGTATTACGAAGTTTATTTGAAAAATTGGCGCCAATATCAGCACAGGGCCCTCACTCACCTTGTCATTGTCGTGACACTTGATGGTCTTCCAGTACTTGTCGCCGCCGCCGTTCTGGAACTGCCCGACGGCCTTGTTGCCGCCCCTCACCTGCAGCAGGAAGCCCTTGAAGGTCCTGCCGCCGCCGACCGTGATCTCGACGTTCTCGCCCGCCCTCACCTGTGAGATATATGGTTATGGTTATAATTGAAGATCTCGGTGCAAGAACCGGGCAACTCCAATTTGTTAAAATGTTGGGGAGTGGAAAAAACTTAATATTTTTGAGAAACTTGAAAAAAATTATGCTTAATGGTATGAATCCTTCAGAGTTAAGTAAGATAAGCTGTATTTACTTAGAAACTGATTTTCATTAACATTGTATAAGCTGAAAAAAAAGTTTGAAAAAATGGAGTTGCCTGTTTCTTGTCCCAAAAACACAAAATTCTGAAAATATAGTCAAACTTGTGTAATAATTTTGCTTTTTCATTGAATATGAAATACATAAGAAAAAATATTTGTGAACAAATAGTATTTTGGACATGGGAAGAATCGCTGACGTTTCCTGCGTCTTGATCTTCGTTAACATCGCCGGAATTTGGGTCATCTTCGTCAACAGTTATGTTTTTGGAACATATTCACTCCCCGAATCTTGAAAGGGCTCACTTTCACTTTCCGACGACATTACATTGTATTGCATGAAACAAATGATCAAACCAATCAAACTAATCACGCCACACACGATGGAAGACGCGGGAAGGCTTGCCGCTAATAACCTCACTCCGACATCTCCCACTACACGCGTACATTTCGGTGCTAAAATCGGGTAACTCCTGGAGTTGCCCGACTCTAGCACCGTCACGGCTTACATTTCGATGGTAAAATCGGGTAACTCCTGGAGTTGCCCGACTCTTGCACCTCAATGGCTCATCAGGTGAATTCTTTCCCGTGTTAACTTAATAGGACATTGTTGGATTCGCTTGATTCCTACACCAAAAGATGCGCAAGAAAAATTCTATATGTTTAATACAATAACCCAATTTTGGCATAAAATGGAGTTGCCTGGTTCTTGCACCGAGGTCTTCAATTGCTATGGTGGGCCTCGGACATACACTGATTGTATTTTATGTCGGTGTGGTGGGCCCACTCTTCAATGGGGTTGTACACTTTAGTCATTTTTCCTCGGACGTAACCACACAAACCAGTAACTTTATGATGACGTCACGGTAACTTTATTATGACGTCACGGTTTACTTGTGAAGCTTGACAGATGTCAGTTTGTCAGCTGTTTCTGTTTATTGTTTGATTTAGTTATTGAAAAATAAAGAAATTCATTATCTGTAACAAAAATATATCATAGATATATAGGACTTGCCTCGGTACTTATCTACTTCAAATTCAACAAAATTGGAACAATTCGTTACGTAAATATTAACAATGGATCAAATATTTATTTTCATCAATAATATGATGAGATCTCTCATTGAAAAATACTTCATATAAAGCTGAGGCTAACTATTTACATTTCCATTTGCCCATTCAGATCATTCGCACAATATATCGCAGTTAAGAGTATGTGATAAATATTTCATTGAATTTACCTACAATCGAAGCTCATAATTATAACATAAATCCCAATGAGATATGTTCAATTTGTAATTTGAATTCTGCAGAAACGTTGCTGCCTATTTTGTTCGATAGTCCGATTTATAATAGTACGTCTCAGAATACCAAACTGTGATCATCTCCCGAATGGCCACTCGTTGATTGACCTCATCGACAATCTTAAACTCCACTTAAATGCAAAAATATCGCCAAATATATATGGAATATACTAAAAACCAGAGAATTTTTAAGAAACGAGTAGCACTTCGTGATATCATCAACTTTGCCTCATTTCCTTCTTACTTTCTTTTTTTTTTGTTATTAATCAAAACTGTCTATATTTGCATATGTATAGTGACAATTATTATAATTCGCATTGTACACATATTCATGTAAACATATCCAAGTGATCATCAGAATTAACCGAATCCTTGCTATAGGACTGTAATGTCTTCGAAAGCAATATAACGAATCTCTATCTATCTACTTCATATAAACCCATAATAATCATAACCTCAGATTATAACAACAAGACCAATCCAGTGTCCAATCAAAAGCATTAATTACCTCAGTGAGCTTGTTTGTGTGGTTGGTTAACTATTTCGTCATAGTTTGGAATACACTTCGAGGAAAATGGACTGGTTAACTTATTGTTGACCCGGTTTCTGCAGTCAACTTCGAGGAAAATTGAAATAATATTGATATTTTATTTTATAGAGAAGAGGAGAGAAAATCCCAAATAATCTGGAATAATTATTTATCCTTGTTTTCAAACAGGCTTCCATTAACAAATATATACATGTTTGGGATATGCATAAGTAAACCTAACCTTGAAAAGATATAGTAAAGTTATATTCTGTCATTTTACACAATGAAATTAATTTTAATGAATGAAGAACCCAGGAGGATCCTTTCATTTAGCATTTATCAACATCAAGATATACATAAAATAATACCCTCCAAAAGGCATACTGGGTGAAATCACCTCTAAAAATCTGTCACTATTCCCCGGTCTAGGAGATTTCTGAACTCCTTCCAATAGGAAGAAGGAAGTGATAACACCATTCGGATCTCACCTGGTTACGGTTGACGGTCACCTTGTAGGGAAAGGGGGACTTTTGGGGGTCGGCGGGGTGCTTGGGTGTCATGTCGTCACAGGAGTCTTCAGGGGCGCCGGCGCTGTTGCCGTACGCGCAAGCCACGAGGCAGGAAATCACCAGCAGTTTGAACATTCTGAAACGAAAATTCTGGTGATTTGAGGTTGGGTTTTTCTCGCGTGATCAAGGGCGGATCCAGAGGGCCCTCTGCCCAGATAGCACAGAACCACCCCGAAAACGTCCTCAAGCCGTACACCTCGGACATTGGAAACGTCCCCAGAACGTCCATTTCAGGTACGGCGTACGTTTTCAGGACGTTTTGGGGACAAACGATGTTACACGGGAACGGAACGGGTCCATTAATACCTGAATCAACGTAGATTCACCTTTTTTTATACTCAGATAGTTAAAATAGAGACCTAGATAGGGTAAAAACATATTATTTTGACTAAAAAAATTAAAAAAAGTGCTCCTACCGGGGATCGATCCCACGACCTTCAGATTACCTTACCGTGCAGATGCTCTACCTATTACTCTACAGAAGACTTAATTATATGTCAGTATACAACAAGACATTATGTGCGAATGTTGATCGATCCTTATTCACATCGATACTTGCATAGAATTAGATGATCATGGCAGAGAATACCTAATTATTTTGCGTAACTATAAAGTAGGTTAATTATGTTTTATTTAACCTAAGAATATTTTGCATGTGCATTTTATAACTACTGAATATTGCTTTGAGTTCCTTGTAACAAAATATATTTCCACCAAGTTTATCGGAATAAGGTTATTCAAGAATAATGGCGGTTGAACTACCCACCAGCTTCCAGGTGCCTTACCCCAGTATATATCAATATCATTCGGTATGAAATTTTCTCACCGAATACCACTCTCTCTAGCTTCAATTGAAATCAGAATTTATTTTCTCGATCACGAATAGTTTAAAAATTCTCAGATATTCGTGTTCTCAAGTGGTATTATAAGTGGAAATTTCCGATTATTCTTAAGTGTTCAAATTAACGAGTTTCATCTCAAAAATTTGAACAAAGAATGGAAAAAAATCGACTACGCCACCTTAGGGCTAATTAAATCCTAGTGACTGCCGTCTACACTACAGGGACATTTGATGACACTGACATCAATTGATACAGCGCTGTCAGATTTTCCATGAGCTCTAAATCATCAAAAACATTATAAAATCTGGTTTGCTCACTGAAGTGTTTGTACCTGACTGTAATTTTTTTCAATAACTATTCCATTTTCGATCATTTTCCACGCAGTTCTATATGTACCGTGTTACAATTATTATTTTGAATATTATAATGAATATTAGTGATAAAATCCTATTCAAAATTTATTAAACGTGATTTATCTCAGATCATAGAAACGTCCAGTTTCTAGCCATTTTCATTTGAACTTCATTTGCTATTTTATCATTTTTATGAACTGTGGCAAGGTCGCTTTGTTTTCCGCGGTTCTCCTCTTGTTTTATATGTCTTCCATGAGCGACTAGCTCTCGATGAGTAGAATTTTGGGTGGAAAAACAGGCCGTACCCCTGTCTTATTTCGATCGCTATAATTTTTCCTATGGTTCCATTCGATATTATTAAACATTGTAGCATCGACCGAATGTGTTATAGTTCGATCCATAAGTGGAAAGCGGCAAAACATTGAAAAATTCATTTAGAGATACCCTGTAGTAGTAATTCCTTTTTTTTATTGGAAAGGTATAGGTAGGTAGTGACAATTGAAAAAAAAATAACACTTCTTCACACCCCGTGAATACGAAATATATGTACGCTGAAAGAAACTGAGTTCAATTGCATATGATGACCATTCAAAGAGAGTCATTGTTTGGAAATCCTAAATATCTTCATTATTATTAGCGACATTGGTTGTTGTAAACTGATACCAGTATAATTATTATCATCGATCCTTGCAAAGAAGATTTCAATCTACGTTTTTTTTGACAGTACACATTTTGTTTATATTTTCATATGGGAGAGCTTACAAACACTGTTGAGGTTTTGATGATTTTTCATATCAAAACTCTTTTTTGCAGGCTTCAAGAATAATTTTCCTGATCATATATCCTCAATAACGAATCATCATGTTATGGTCTTCCTGTTCCTATTCTCATGACATTGTAAGACCATGTCTTTGTTTTATTGTTTTGCCTGAAGTGAATTGTTGACATTATACATGAGGGAAGGTCATATAAACTACTTACCAGATGAAGTGGGACAGCCAAAAAATTGTCTAATTTTGATAAGCTATAACTCGAACATTTCTTGGCCGATGTTGGATTTTCAACCAAAAGTAGAAAGCGTCATCCTTGGGCTATGCGTCATTGGCGTCGGGTTTTTATTTTTGCGATTCGTTCTCTTTGTACAGAGTGTGAATTAAGAGCCGGACAAATTTCAAATTTTTGACCAATAATTTGAGAAACGTGAGGGACCCTAGAATTCTCTTTCAGATGTTGGGTGAATGGTTGGTCCGATACCTCGAGACATCTTTGAAATTTTTTTGATAAATTGCGTTGCTATGGGAAAATCGCTATTTTATGCTATCCATTTTTATTTTAAAATGTGGCCTCTCTTAGTTAAACAATAGCAACCAACATCCAAACTGTGGCAAGGGATATTTTTACTGAAGATAATTAACACCAGTGGCATGCCAAAAGGGGTTTATGATATTTAAAAACAAAAATTCGGTTTTATTGGAAAAATTCGACAGTTTTATTGATCGTTGCAGTTAATAAGTTGCTATACAGTCAATTAGCATGATGTTGACAAATTCAGAGGCGTGCAAAAGTGGACAAATCAAAATTTCAGTCTCATTACCATTGTTTTTAACTTTTTCAAGCTGAGCATCCAAGTAATCCTATGGCGTATCAAAGAGGATCCATCATTCAAGGTGATTCAAAAAGATTGATATGGAAACATTTTTAATAATTTTATCAAGTGTTGTTCTTTTGTTCGCCCACTGAAAATTTTCTTATATCATTATTTATGAATGAAAATTCAGAATCATCATGCTAATTATGGATATGACACCTCTTCAACTGTAACGATCAATAAAAACTGTTGAAGTGTTTCAATAAAAACGAATTTTTCGTTTCTAGATATCATAAACCCCTTTTTGCGCGCCACTGGTGTTAATTGTCTTCAGTAAAAATATCCCTTGATGCAGTTCAGATGTTGGCTGTTATTGTTTAACTAAGAGGCCACATTTTGAAATAAAAATGAAATTTCATAAAATGGCGATTTTTCCATAGCAACGCAATTTATCAAAAAAATTTCAAAGATGTCTCGAGGTATCGGACCAACCATTCACCCAACATCTGAAAGAGAATTCTAGGGTCCCTCACATTTCTCAAATTATTGGTCAAAAATATGCAATTTGTCCGGCTCCTAATTCACACTCTGTACAAAGAGAACGAATCGCAAAAATAAAACCCGACGCCAATGACGAATAGCCCAAGGATGACGCTTTCTAACTTTGGTTGAAAATTCAACATCGGCCAAAAAATTTTCGAGTTATAGCTTATCAAAATTAGTCAATATTTTATATATGTCCAACTTCATCTGGTAAGTAGTTTACAATATATTTTTTCTACGACTATAACACAAAATTGCTCTTGTTTTACTGTGTTCGATACCTACATCAAAGAGGTACTTTGTCATCAATTTTATTTGCGTATCAAAAAAAAACTCATCACCCATGGAATGTCAAATTTCAAGCAATGACAGCTCTATCTAATAGATGAGCATACTTGTAAGGAAATCAGATGGCTACATGACGAAGAAATCGAAAATGCCGCTGTTATCTATTATAGCCGTAGAAAAATTATAGTGTACAACTTGCACGGAATGCTAATTCCCTACTCGAATGATTGTATAGCATGAGCCATTCTCGAAGGAAATCACTATCATTCCGTGCTCGTTAAACAATATATGTACTATTATCTACGACTATAACACAAAATTCCTATTGTTTTACTATCTTCGATAAATCAATGAGGTATATAATATTATGTAAATGTGTATATCTTCAATTTCATTTCCCTATCTGATAACACAATGAATTCATATATATTATATATCATTTCACAATGAATGTCATCTCTCATAAAATGTCAAATTTCAAGCGATGATGCAGAGCTCTGTCTAATAGAGCATTACTTAAAACAATATCAGATGGCTACAAGCCGAAGAAATTCAAAATTTCGGTGTTATCTATTACAGCCGTAGAAAAAGTATAGTGTATAACTCGCACGGAATACTAATTTCCCACTCGCGTGATTTGCAGCATTCGCCTTTCATACTAGTGGAAAATGACTATTCAAATAAGATATTATATTTTTGTTCTTGTTTTCTATAAGGATTGATCGATATAATAATTGATTATTGTTAAATTGATAAAAAAAAAGTTGTGTCTTCTTCTTAATCAACTCAATGTATAGGAGCATCGTGAACTAATAAACTTCCACACGTAAATATATCAGCTTTTTTCTGTTTTTTTTTTTCATGGGAAATAAAAAATTACCATTTGAAGGTATACTCACTTGGAAATCAATAAGGTTCTTATTCTCTCTTCAAGACTGAGCTCAAAACTAACGAGATCAACTGGTGTAGCTGTATTTCACTTTCATTATTGGCATTAGGTAGGGGAACGGTTGAAGAAACTTTTGGTTGCTTAGCATTGGCGACATTGGCGTATCATTTGGCATCTGGAATAAGGCAAACTTTTATTAAAATACTCTTGATATTGAGATATACATTTTAATTAGTTACTTACCTCTTTATTAGAATAAGAAGAATCCTGGAAAATTTTGGAAAGAAATTCGTTCTCAAATAGAATCTCCACATAAAATTAACAATACGCGTAAGCGTAATATATCAATCAACGACAATACCTATATATAACTTCCATAACTCACTTCGATTCAATATTCGATTCCATATCAAATGAAATCTGTTTTAGTATTTGAATGGGATTCAGCATAGATGTCAATTTCAAGCCGAATTTGCATATTTTTTGCATCTTTTTCTATATTTGGAAACTGAAGAAATGGCGTTATCGAATTCTTTTTCACTGGAAGAAACCTATATTTTGGCATGTTTGAAAAAGATAATTTCTCTGAGCGAATTTTCTTCCGTTGAAATATTGTAACTATGCGACTTCACCAGGAAAAAAACATAAGAACAACGATTGTGTTACTTTTTTTTCTTTCTTTTCTATCATCTCTTTTTCCGCAGTTTGCTCATTTTTCTACCATCGTTTTAATCTTTGCTTATCGAGATTTTTTTCACATTTTGTTACATCTGTTTCCAAAGGGATTGTAGTTTTTGTACAAATTTGCTCATAGTTTTTGTGACAGAAGTTAATACAAAAAAGTGACCTACAGGATGTATTTATTAACTGACTCTAAATTTACCATCTTAATATTCAACTCAACTCCCATCCAAAAGACTTCACTGATAGATCGATCCACAAAATTGAAAACAAACGAAAACAAAAAAACATCAATATCAATAAATATAAATAGGTAGGTACCATACATTCCCGGTATATCTGTAAAAATAAAACGTGTCCGTAGAGTTGTGAAGAGTTGGAAATGTACGAATTAAAATTTCAATTTTGAAGGTTTCAAAATTGAAATATGTCATTTGAAAGTTTGTTATTAATTTCTCAAACTTCCTCTTGAATATCTTGTTTAGTTTGAAAATTTCAACATTATAGTTGAAAGTTTTTTCCAATGAATTTCACTTTCTTCTCCTGTCCCATAAACGGATCACCCAGTAGATCATCGTCAATCATTTTGAGATATTAAACATTTTTTCATGGTACCTAATAGAAGTTTCATTGAAAACTTCGTTAATTGAATTTCAGAACGTTCTTAGTACATTCCTAGAAAATTCTGAACAAAAATCAATAAATTTCAGGAAATTTTCTGAATTCATGAAATTTCTGTATATTTCATATAATTCATGAAATTTTTAATTGAAATTTCGAATAAAAAAACCCTAATTAGTTTTAAATGAAAAATAACATTTTGGACAAATCTTCTGATTTGTCATTACAACAAACAACAATTTTTTTCATGAAAAATAACATTTTGGACAAATCTTCTGATTCGTCATTACAACAAACAACAATTTTTTTCTGGGTCAACCGCAATCGTGAGAAAATTGAAAAAATGCTGAATTCACCCAATATGTGTTCTAAATCGTGAAGAAAAATTCAAAAAATCATGGTGAAATTCCCTATTACAGAGCATACACAACCACAAAATAATTTGGCTTAGAGTTATCGGCATAAAGTGACCAAAAATATATCTTATATCCGAAAACTAGTTAGCGAGGTCGAAAATTAAAAATTCATTGCCTGACCGGTTTTGGAAGATTTTTTCTCGGAATAAATTAATTACCATATTACCTAATAAACAAAATCCTACTTTGGGGTCAACGATGAAATGATATTTTCATAGATTGAACAAGCACACACTATCTATGGGATGGATTTTGTGTTCGGAATACAGGGTGAGACAATTTTGGGAATGGATTTAATAAGATACGTAGAATATCTATTACTTTATTTTGTGACATTCTATTCCGTTAATAACATTTGAGAGCCGTATTTTTTTAGTGAAAAAAATAAATGGTGGTCATATGAATGCTATAGTGTCAGTATAAGATTTCATATAACCACAACTTTTTTTTTATCTCTTGGTGCGCACGAAAGGGAATCCCTATTTAATGTTCGAAGAATATCGTGCGTATCTATAGGGAGGATAAGATGCCACAGAAAGTGTCACTTCACCTCCATTTGAATATAGGTATAATATATATACAGGATGTCCCTAGACCAGTGGGACAGTTGAATATCTCCTGAAGTCCTGAACCAATAGGAATTTTCAAAATATCATAATTCCACATCATATCGCATTATGAGTGCTAACTTCAGGAATGACTATATTTTCTACGAGGGGCGCAAGAAAGGCTCACAAAAGCGAACGTCAATTTTTTCAAATGGTACACCCTGTATTTCATTGCATTTTCATATTCTCCTTGAACAGCTGAATTCAACGACCTAGCACACTTGGGGTCTAGTGGGAATGATTTCCGAGATAAAGGGTGTGGAAAATCGAGATTTTTCATTTTTGGGAATTTTTTGTGTCAAAACTATTCATTATTGGTCAGAACGGCTCACATGTCCATGTCTTAACTTTTGATTCACTATTTACTCGTATTTAATTGAAACAAATACCGGGTGGTGTAGAATTCTGACTGATTCTACACCACCCTGTATTTGTTTCAATTTAATACGGTGAGTGAATAGTAAATCAAAATTTAAGATATGGACATGTAAGCCGTTTTGACCAATAATGGATAGGTTTGACACAAAAAATTCCCAAAAATGAAAAATCTCGATTTTCCACACCCTTTATCTCGGAAATCATTCCCACTAGACCCCAAGTGTGCTAGGTTGTCGAATTCAGCTCTTCAAGGAGAATATGAAAATGCAATGAAATACAGGGTGTACCATTAGAAAAAATTGATGTTCGCTTTTGTGAGCCTTTCTTGCGCCCCTCGTAGAAAATATAGTCATTCCTGAAGTTAGCACTCATGATGCGATATGATGTGAAATTATAATATTCTGAAAATTCCTATTGGTTCAGGAGATATTCAACTGTCCCACTGGTCTAGGGACACCCTGTATATCCTGCCACAGTTGAGAATATGATGAATATGTTCGAAGAACATCGTGCGTATCTAGGGAGGATACGATGCCACAGAAAGTGTCCCTTTACCTTCATTTGAATATAGGTATAATACCGTTGAGAATATGATGAATATGTCAAACATCGTGAATTGAGACACGATATTTGTTTTTTTTTTATGTCTGAAATAACATTTAACATAGATTAACGTACATTATATCATCATTATTTTATTTCATTCGAATATTACTTGACACATCCTGTACAGTTGTTGCAATCAACGTTCCGCATAAATATTTATTATAATAAATTGACAAAATCTTAAATGAACCTACTTTCAAACTGTGCACCTTTCAAATATCTAGGTCTTCTGTAAAGGTTGCGTTGATTATGTTCAAAATTCATGCATTTGGTATAAACAGGGTAAGTCAAATGTAACCTGCTTCAAGCCTCAATTATATTTTCCATTTTTTGTTTTGTGGGAAGAGTGTGTTGATATTGAAAAGGAATATTTTCAGATAAATTAGGAACATGAAAAAATGGATATAGATATATAAAGAAATACATTGAGTATTTGCACTCTGCTCTATGTGATGAAAATATAAATTCTTTTTCGGGTTATCGATATGTAATGCCACAAGTGATAATATTTTGCCGGAAATATTCGGTGATTGTTACGACAGCTTGTAGCCTAGTAATTTCGCGAATTACATTGTTATCAAAACTAACGAGCCGTAGGCGAGTATAGTTTTGGATCAATGTCATGAGCGAGATTAGATAATGTAGGCATCTGCAGATGACATTATTTCGACAAAAAAATTCATAACTTTGATACGAAAGAGATATAGTCAACGATATTATAGGAGTGGATGAAGATCACAGAGATGCTTCAAAAAATATGCAAATATACTGGGCATTCCAATTAAAAAAATTGATTCCGACCCTCTAGATTATTTTCGATGCGCCCTGTATATGCGGCAATAATTTCTAGTTGTGGACCTTGTTGTCTCATTTACTTTCGTTTTTGAATCAGGTTTCTAGCTATCATAGAACTCGAGCAATCGAGCTCCGACGCACTAATGCCCCACCCTGTATAAATAGATACATTGGGAATCCGCATTCTCTATGTGATGAAATTCTTTCTGGGTTTATTCAACAGAAAACAACTGCTACTTTTCTGGCTATATGCATCTAGGAACATTGAATTATATCTGATAAGAATTTGAAAATAAAATCTTCTTAAGTTGAGAATTTGCATTCTCCTTGAATGGTTCATTTTATTTCATTAAGCCTATGATGATAGGCAAAATTAACATGTTATAGAACGGTTCATTTCTTGAAAAAAATTGAGATGAGAAAAAAGCCTTTAAATTAAACGATATCCTTCCTATTCAGTAACTGTCAGATGTCAGAGGAGTACTCCAAAAAAGTTTGGGGGCTACTCCTAAAAACGTATCACCCTGTAAATTTCAAAAATATTCAATCCAATTCAAATATAGTTCAAATGAATATCATCCAGTGTGTACTGACCACACCAAATTTCAAATTGATTTAGAAGTAAGCAAGATATTTCAATTAAAAGAAAATAATTATTGAACTTTGACCCCCTGATGTAGCTTGGCTCATTATACAAACTTTTTTTTATCAAAATGTACCTTAAAACTTGAATCACCCTGTATATTTGCAATCAGAAGAAAGAGCTCTACCGTTTAGGAGAATAAAATACAGAGTGTTCCAGTTAAAAAATACCAGTTTATGTAAAATGTTTAGGTTTATGATGCTTTTTTGTATTTTCTAGTATATTTTACTCAATAGGGATATCAGCCAATATTAGAAAAACTATTAAATGGGCATTCAGAATCTAGTATAGTAGATTCTGAAAGGCCTCAAAAAGTTCTTCATTTTTTATTGAGTAAAATTTAAACAATCACCCTGTACTATAGCTCAATTCTTCATTATTTTATTGATCTTTATTGATCTTTCTGAAATATTTCTAGTAAGTATACAAAGGTGTTTTGCAAACTCCAGCCTAAAATGCTTCAGAAATGATGGCACTTGTGATTTGATGAATAATTAGGTACTCAATTAGGTAGGAACATAAGGTCCTCAAGTGGTCAGAGATACAGGATGTTCACACTTTACAAAACCAGGTGAAAATAAACTACAGCACTTTTCAAACAAATATTCAAATACAGTAAGAATTACATGAATTGAAGGCAAGTGGTGCATGTTTTATGCAAAATAAAACCTATAATGTAAGTATATGTACTATGGAACTCAACTTAATACTTCAACAATACTGCTATAAAACCATTAATGTAATAAATAGGATCAATATCACTAGAGAAATTTCTCAAAGGTTTCAAATTTGAGAAAGGGTTTCTATGAGGTTCTACTAACACTTTTACTTTCTTATTAGCTTTCCTTACAATATTTATGTCTGCAATAATTTCTTCTTTAGTGTAAGCTGTCAAAATTAGAGGAACCCCTGGACTTTGACATAAAAAAGGAATACTATCTTTCCATGTATCTTCTGGGTGATTTGAAAATTCATGTAAACCACTATTCAGAGCAACCACTACATCAGGCTTCTTCAAAATCCCAACTATATTATGGTACAACTGCTCATGAAATGTAATCCTGGTTGTAGATTTTTTGCTTTTGCAACTGAGGCACAATTGATTGGTGAATTTATCAGTTGTTCCACTATGATTCAAGTCAGGGCCAATAATGAAATATTCAAAGTTCCTCAAGTTCTTTATCCAGTGAAATGGTAACTCTGACATGATTCTCCAAAGCAAACCCATTTCTGTTATATCAGCACCAACTAAATGTACTACAAGCTCCTCTTTTGGAAATATTCTATCACTCAAAAATCCACTGCCTTCCAAACCATAAATTATGGTAGCTACAGGTGCAATTACTTGTGATTTACGAATCTGTATAATATGAGGTCCAATATCTTTAACATTCTCTGTTGAATAGTTTTCATCATACATGGACATCAGTTGTTTCAAATTTTCAGGAAGAGCAGATATGCTATCTTCTATATCATTTGGACTCACTTCCAAGTAATGATCTGGAAGGCTTTGTGAAAATGTAAACAAGTCCATTTCTAAGCTCAATTTTAGTTCATTACAGTGCATTTCGTGTTGACTTTGATGATGCTTTTTGTGTTCCTCTGAGCAGTAGGAAATATTGTGACATTTTGCACAAAAAATGGTAGCTTCTTGAGAATAACAAACTGCACAAAATCTTGGAAACATCCACATTTGCATTTCAAAATCATATAGCTTTCGTTTCAGCTTCTCCTGCCAATAGATATGCTTAAGATACTGATCATTTAGGAGATCTGCAAATGTATTTACAGATTCTTTATAAGTGTCTGATGCACTCTTTATGATAAGGCATAACTCTTTATGGTATTTCCAGTCCGATCTTTGGTGGTCAGTGGAACAGTAAACCATAACCTTGCATGATGAACATCTTTTCAATGGTTTATCAAACGTTTTACAAACATGACAAACATTACTGTTGAAAAAAGTACAATAAGGTATTGCCGGACAATTAAACATTTTCCTGCTCTTCTGTATTCTGTCTATGCTAAAATTGCTAAACTACTAACTGTAATATTAATATTTCAATTTTTCAAACTAATCAGCTGCCAGAGTGCAGCCACAAGTTCAGCTGGTTTTATAGTATACTGGCGTATAGGCGTTATAGGCATAGGCACAAGAATAGATAGATATATCAGAATCAAATTTTGGTGCTGACGAACATGTTAGCAGAGTTTTGTAGAGCTAAGAAACCGGTATATGAGAAGCAAAGAAATACTTAAATTTGAAAAAGTTGAGGTATTATTATAACCAAAAAATGAATTTGAAGAGTTTTGGTTTATTATTCAAAAGTTTTGTGAAAATTGTATCTGGCGATGCAACTAGGTAAATATTTCCACAGTACAAACTATAGTTGTTTTTTTTTCAATCATATAATTCTAGGCGAAATATTCATGTTGATACCAGGTTATGTCGGCCCCCAGGGGCCTATGAAGGTGAAGGGAAGACTTCTGTGCACATTTTGAATAAAGATTCAGATCTAGGTATAATGATAGACGGGTACAGTCAAGTAAGGAATACAGTAGTCTGTCTGAAAGTTTCATGCAATGGAATGTGTTATTTATTTATTTCAGGTTGGTTTTAGATTAAATAATGACATGACAGTCCTAGGATCCATGTTGATATTTCCAAGGTGATACATGGTCAACATTTACACAATTCACTCTATTTTAGGATCAATAATGCATATATTTTTCAGATCTGTTCTATCCTGGAATGTAGATGATATTTCTGAAATAACTGAGGAAGCTTTAAGTTTGTTCTCAGTACTTGAACCAAAAATAGACATTTTAGTCTTAGGAGTAGGAGACCAAATAGAAAATTATAATTTTTACCAGAAATTGATACCTTTTTCTAGAAGGAATAGGATACCTTTCGAAATTTTGCCTACAGAACAAGCTTGTTCCACTTTTAATTTCCTCAATGCTGAAGGAAGAAATGTAGTAGGAGCAATGATACCACCCAAACACTTCAGACCAACAGATGATGATGAATTGCAAACTAAGCTTAGGTATCAAAATCTGTATGAGTGGGAATAAAGTAGCAATATATTAAAACCATTTATTATCTTCAATTCTTCAGTTGATAATTCAAAATTTGCTGACCTCTCATCAGCCTAAATCATGTACAAATTCAATGGTGACCTATAATTGAAAACATGTAAAAAATGAAACTTAAACTATGTTATTTCTATGTATAGACTTAATTAATGATCTATAATGATGAGCTCATCAATACCCCAGTCCTCATAGGAATGGTCAGGTAAATATCTTCGAATAATTATTGGAATTTTACGTTGCTTCAGTTCCTTCATGGCAATCTGCAATGGATCAGTTTCACCATCTAACTCAACCATCACAGGTGCACACATAGCTATCTGAAGGGCTCTGGTGCCCAACACTCTAGCTCTTTCATATTTCGTCATGTATTTTGTTGTTATCCGTTTACTTTTCGGTACTCCACCACCTGCCTGGCCGGGAGCGAGAATATCAATGTTGTCACCATCTTCTTCAGGTTGTTCCAATTCCTCAATGTTATCGTCTTCAACGTCGTCGTCAAATTCGTCCCCCACATCGTTTTCGTCGAATTCTTCGTCAGCCATAGTACATTAAGTTATAAATTGCAGTAGGACGTAGTTATTTTTATCGTTGCAGAAACTACACATTCGAAAGATGAATTTAATTGAATGAAAATAGTGTAGAAAAACTGGTGAAAACGTTCGTCGTTAACCACAAAGTTCTTCTTCTTATTAAAACATCTCAATTTGGCCTTATCCCAAGCTCTTATCCAACCGAGACACCCGTATCTCACTTAGCCAGTTGCGGACATAACTATGTATTTTTTCAATGTTGGCCTTTTTGCTACCATGGCACCATGGCTAAACACATAAAATGATGAGTTACAGGATGTTTTCATTTTCATTAATGATTGCCAACGTCAGAGATCACAGATCAGTCACCCACTGACTGATCTCTGCCAACGTCACCAATTATTGTCGCTGAGAACATCTGAGATATGAGACAATGGAGTTTACTGGGTCAATTGCAGTACAGGATTCGCATGGTTAAACAAAATTAACTGAGCCCATTGTTAGCTACAATTCTTACTCTAGTACATAAAGTACTGGATGTCCAACTCGAAGGGCACAACCGTCAACTGTTAACTTGTCACGTGTCAAGAAGTTCTGTCAATAATGTCAATGCAACTCACAATTCTGTAAGTTCATATTTTTTCGTCTGAGCAATGAGCATGGATGAAAATGAAACACACCCATGCATAGGCTTGGTTTTTATTTTTTCTTCTGAAACGAAGCTATTAGATGAGTAATCTAAGGGCGAAAAAATTGTATTTTGAAATGCACGCCCCTGAAAATATGTAACTCATTCATGAACTGTAATAGGTCTAAAAGTTAGCTCATTGATATTTCCACAATCAGACACAATAGATGTGAATTCCATCACAATCGGTTATAGCATTTCTGAGAAATCAATAAATAATCGATTTTTCAAAGAAACTTGAACACCCTATATCTCAAAAACGAAGCGTTTAAAAGTATATGTTCATAGGAAGTTTATTTATTATTTCAACGAGTAAATTTTCCGTAATAAAAAACGGACCACCCTGTATATCGGAATATCGGTTTTTATTATAATATCGGCATCGGCCGATTATTGGTCATCAGCTGAAATTTCTCGGTCGATCCCTAGTAAAAAGTATTTTGAATATAATATGAATTGATAAAACTCGTGTGATCTACATTATTTGCTGTATATGAATATAGTAATTGATAAATTTATCATCGAAAATATCTGATTGATGTTTTGGTTTCCAGAATGATTTGGAAACGACTAATTTGCATCAAGATGCAACGAACATTTATCGTTATTGATCACCTTCACTTCAAATCTTGACGTTGAGTTGAATTTTTTTCAGTGCCATTTCGCGGTTCGTGATTCTTGTGAATAGGTGAGACAAATTAATCGTACACAATGTTGATAAAATATCTTTAATAAATCAAAATTTCGAAACTTTACTGTCGACTCGAATTTGTTTTCCATACTTGAATCAGTATTCGATATCTTTTTACCAATAATATCATCTCTAGCTACATGAATATCGGAGATTCGCGGGAATAAATGTCACCAGGTGGCGCTCGGTTTTCATCGTTCCATGTCAAAGCTACGTCAAAACTGGGGGAAAACCATATGGGAAAACAAACTCAATCCTCACTCAATCTCCTTACTGCCATAAGCTTGTGTACTGTGTACTGTTTTTAAATTTCTTGACATCAATTGTCAACATTCGGTCGAAAAAGCTAATAATGCCTGTTGGTAGATGTTCTTTTGGCAGATATTTTGCTCTATTTAGACGGAAAAAGCCGACCAGTGGTGGAAGGAGAAGCAGTTCTCCGTGCTAATCATGTGATTTTGTGTGATATGTCATTTGATTTGCTCGTCATAATTTGAATTGTTCAAACTATCTCCAATTCTTCACCTGTCCACTGTTTACTAAACTAATAAAAATGTAATGATGTAAAAAAATTAACCAACTCAACCATCATCACTACCAACAGTGCCAACACTTTATGTCATTGACAAGTTTGACTACAGCTACAGCAAGCTGAATGCAATGCAGTCTATGCACTTTATCCATAGACAACAGTTTGTTTTCCCCCAGTTTGAAGTCCGTATTATGTAACCTAGATGTCGCCCACTTCGTGAATCTCGCGAATAGGTGAACATTAGCAAGTTTTTTTTCCTGAAATCGTTATTTGTAATATATCATTCAACGTCTTCATGAAATACCAGTAAATTTCTATGCGTAGGTACTACTTAAATGGATGATTTCCCAATGTGAAGATTTTGTTTGCCAGATGTTTATACAATTCTAATTGGAAATGATGCATGTACAGGGTGCTTCGAAATTCGGCCGACAACGCTTGACAGGTGATAGCCCTCGTGATTTCATAGTTACTGAGATAGGGACAACCGGTCTCAGTTCTTGAGATACAGGGTGTTGAAGTTGAGGAATAAAAATGTTTTTTCACAATAACTGAGGAACGATTGTATATCTTTCATTCGAATTCAATAAATGGTTTCATCTTTGGATGTGTCATATTTTGACCAGAAAGTCATTCTGGACATTTAATCCAGTGGTGTGCAACTGCGCGTGGTGGTAACTTTTCCTCCCATATGCTACTGATCAAATTTCAATTATTTTCAATTTCTCGAATTCATTGTTCAATAATTATGTTCAATGAATGCATCACCCTCAACTGAGCTAAATTGAATAGATATTTTACCCAAAATATGAGTTTGCTAAGTAATTTTCTATCATTTTCGGTAGTAGAAAATTATAAAACTGTTTGTTTTTTCTTTCAGCATGGAATAACTGTTTTTGTTTAGCTACAGAATGAGATCTGGATAATCTAGTATAATCTACTCACCACCAGAAAAATAGTTTTGCCATTTTCAACTACTGAACATGATGAAAAATTAATATGCAGACTTCTATTTTGTGTCAAATATCCCGAAAACTCTTTTCAGATCAGTTGGAGGCGATGCATCTTCTAAACAAAATGGAACAATAAATTCCAGGAATTGAAAATAATCAAAACTCCATCAGTAGTGTAGAAAATATTGGAGGAAAAGTTACCACAACCCCCTGTAGCGCACCACTGGATAACATTTCCGGAATGCATGTTAAAAGAATAACCCATTCAAAGATACAACCATGTACTGAGCAAAATACTCAATCATTCTTCAGTAATTGTGAAAAAAACTATTTTTATTCCTCAATTCTCAACTTAAGCACCCTGTATCTCGAGAACGGAACACTTGACTATGCCCCTATCTCAGTGATTACGAAATCATGAGGACTATCACCTGTCAAGCGTAGTCGGTCGAATTTCGAAACACCTATATAGGTATAGATAGGTCAAAATGAAATAATTCAGTTGAAACTATCCTGCCATAATTGAAAATATATTTTTGTTGTTATATCAGTAGGTGAGTATTAGGAGTGGGTTTTCATGTGTGTGGAAAGCGGGCCCGTTTGAGCAAAAGATTTTTGACAAATATGGCATGAATATGGTTTTTCACCTGTGTGGATCCTCTTGTGGACCTTGAGAGTGGACGGCTGATAAAATCCTTTATTGCAGAACGGACAAATAAAATCTCGATCACCTGTAAATCAAAACACATAGGTATTCTTATTCATTAAATCTATTGCCGGCTCGGTGGTCGAGAGCGTGAATGCGCTGAGTTCGTATGGGGACCACCAAGACATAGGTTCGAATCCTAGTTAGGCCATGGATGTTTGTGCTTTTATGCTTACCTAACCCCGCACAAGTTTCGACTTATGGGGCGTTTGGTCCCAGTGCTGGGACCAACGAGGTAACGCAATTGCAAAAAAAAAGAAAAAAAAAATCTATAATGGGCTTGATGGAGAACTAAATATTGAATAATTCATCATTTAAAAAATGCATATTGTTAGAACCAAGAGGAGCAATTTAGCATGATAATTACACTGGACTGAAATTAGTGTATGTCTATCTTTGATTAATTACATATAATAAAGACAAACAGATAGAGTGCTGAAAAAGTTCCAGCTAGTGCGACGAGTGGATCCAAAATATGGTGGTTCGGCAGTGTCAAATTTTAAAAAACGTTAGATACAGATATTTCAGCATGATATTCCTCGGATATTTGGAACCTTGATACAGAGGCGTTAGTGCTTGGGGGCTTATTGAAAAACGTGATGAATTATTCTAAAAATTATATTCTAGATTGCGTCTTGAATCTTTCACGTAATTTTCATGAAATTAGTTTCACACTGATTAGGATTATGCATCTGCAATCTATAATGACAATTGAATTGATTCAAATCATTTCTATTTCTGAACAAGAACAATTCAGAAATATTTTGGCGGAAAACGATGACGTAAACAATGAATCTAGGGTAAGAATGGTTATAATAACTTTGGCTGTCAGATACAAATCTCCGAACAAGCTTGAACTCTCACCCGAACTGTAAACTGAAAAAAAAAACTTAATTTTTCAGAAGGCTTACTCATAATGATTACCAGTATATCCTGAAAAATGAATGAATTGAAAAATAATGAAAATAAATTCAAAATGATATCCGAGAATATTAAAATTCTGACGAACTAATTAGTCTATAGAGATAAAATTCAACTTGAATCACAGCAACTTGATCACAATCAACAAGTGTGAATACAACGAGAACTGCGCCTATAAAATACTAGACCGTCTGAATTAAGAAGAGAGTAAAAACCATAGACAACAATTAACAATGGTGGTGTTAAACTGGTTTTGGGCGCGGTTGCCATAATTTACTAATTTCTTAGGAAGAAAATATATCCACTCAGGATCTCTACAAGTTAGAATTGTATTTTGATTCTATTCATTTCAAGATTCAACTTTGAGTAGTGGATGTAATCTAGATATTATTGAGATATATAATTATTTTTCGTCCTGATAAGTCATTTTATCAGGCATCCATAAATAATTTGGTTTATAATTTTCGACTAGTCAGAAAATGAAATAACAAATGTCATTCCATATAAAGTAGCTAATATTAAAATGAAGACTCAATTCAGTCAAAATCGCGTATTAGCTCTGACATATGACAGTTTACCAACGACGTCAGCAGAATGGTGGAGGAGCCAAAACTATTTCTTTGTATTTTTTCTGAATGAGGGCTAGCATTTTCACTCTCACCAGTTGACGCTGTCAAAGTCAAAAATTTTGCCGGGTGACCGTAAAACAATATGGCCTGTTTTATCGAAAATAATCGAAAAAAAATATGTAGAATATTAGAACAAGCAGAAAGCCTCAAGTTATCGAAAGACTTGAGCCAACTTATTTTATTACCAATGAGGAACCTATCGACCTATTCTTACATTGACGGAGAAGAAGATATCAAAGCGAAAGGCCAAATGACAGGAAGATAAGAAGTATATTTATCTGTTCTACCAACCCTGACCTCATGTTTCGGTGGTGGTGGGTATGGTGGGCAATAATAGTGGATTGTTTTATTAGGATCAAAAGTGACACTTTGTTTGAAAAGCGAATTTTGCATTTGCGAGGCGGAGCGTTTAGCGAAGCCGAGCGAAATCAAAATTTGCGAGTCGAACAAAGTCACTTTTGATCCGAATGAAACATGCTATTTTTTCTGCAACCGAAACAATTAACTCAAATAAACATGTGGAGTAACCACCAATGCCGTGCCATATGTATGCAATGCAACAAATATTGACAAATAATCCATGTGGTGAGAATATTCTACCTGCATTAACAGCAGGTTAGGTTTTCTAGGATGTTCGAATTTTAGTTTCAATATAAATACAACCACAAAATGACATATTTGTGTATGGACCAGGTGCTCTGATGGCAAATAACGCGCCAGTGCCAGCTATAGGACCAAGACGTGGAAAATGTAAGGTTAGTGAGCATATCAACAATGATAATAGTGATTATTTATTCCTCTCCATACTACACTGTGTTTGACTTGATAATCAAATGAAGCAAAACAATAGCGTTGTTTGAGACAAAAAAACTATTGCTTGCCGTGATTATTCAGAAACAAGTTATCCATCCCGAGAATAACGAATGAAATACAGATCAAGCAAGTATTTGAATCTTGAAGGCTTTCCTGATCAAAACAAAAATACGTAACTGAGATGTTTATAATCCCAATTCTAAACTATAATAAGGTGTATTTATATCTCCTGCATGGGTATGAAATGCCAAATCTGCTGAAATCGGAAACAAATCAGGTATGCGTCTCAACCCAAATAACCAACCGTCACAATGTTGTTTATTCTTGATGACGTCCAGTAGATCCTTTTTAGTTCCTAGGAGCTAAAGTTCAACTTTAGCTCCTAGGAACTAAAATTCAACTTTAGCTCCTAGGAACTAAATATGTTGCCTAGCAACCTACCTATTTTTGAGTCAGTAATAGGAACGTCAATTTAAGAGCTAATTTTGGTATCAAAATAAACGACTTTTGTGCCGGTTGCAGAAAAAAATAATGTTAGCCCTCATTGAGTTCTCAGCCTATTGAGAAAATTAAAAATTCGTAAATAATAATGTATCATAAACTTCACGGAGAAATAAAAATCTCAATATAGAAAACATCCCCATTTCTTGGTTTTGGGCATGATTTTCATGCAGTCGTGAGTCCTCACCGGTATGAGTCTTGATGTGAACCCGCAAATCCTCGCTCCTAGGAAACGACTTCGGGCACATCGGGCAACGGTACGGCCTCTCGCCCGTATGTATCCTCATGTGCTTCTTCAGCTGGGACGAGCTGACGCAGCCGCGGCCGCAAATATGGCAGACGTACGGCTTCACGCCGGAGTGTATCCTGGAATGGACGGTCAACCGCGAAGGGTCGGGAAAACCCTTGCCGCACGTGTTACAGACGTATGGTCGCTCGCCTGAAATTAAAATGTCTAGTTTCATGACGCGTTACGCAAAATTAGCCAGTTACGCCCTATCAATTAAACTACTCAACACTAATTTCGTCGCACACCAAAATGTCGCCTCTGTTATAATGTGAATAACTTTTTTCAGTTTAGAACAATTTGAATTTGGTTCACACTGTTCGATAGCCCAGTCCTTCAGCTATAATCTCGTACTTCATTGAAACATAAGGGTATTCACATAAAATCTCTACATGGTGTTTTCCGACACTGTGCGAAATTTCGGAATATTCAAAAGGCTCTCAAATGGTGAGAAAAAATGTTTTCTCAACTCCGACAACAGAGGCATGAAGATGATCTCATTACCTCGAGATATTTCGCGAATCAACTTCCTATCTCTCTTATTTACAGGGTGATCTTAAAAAATCTACTTTTTAGTTTTGCAGCCATAACTTTTTTTTACGTTAACCGATTTTGGAAATCTTAGGCTCATTTTGAAGATAAAACTTCAGATGAAGAGATCTGAATATCAGAATTGACTCAAGATGGCTATCAAAGATCTAGAGTTTTCTTGAAAGTGACCCAAATCTGGAACGCCCTTCGAATCTTGGTTGGGAGGAGAATTGAATGAAAATCAACTTGTTCTCGGAAAAACAATTCATTCTGGATGCGTCCATATTTTCCTCGCTCTCAGTAGTCAAGAATTGTGCGTGAGAAAACACAATTGAAACATGTTCTTGCAAAAACATTATATCATTTCTACTCTGTAATGCATGGCCCGCCGTAACCAACGTTACAAGAATCACAATGAGTGACTGACAAACCCGACCAGCTGAGACTCATCATAAATGGTGTACCAACAAGAGCAACGGATTCTGATTTTTTCAATAAAGTGATTTTTTTTAACAGTTGTCACGTACATAACATGCGATTTAAGAATATGGAGAAGTATTCAAGCAAACAACGTTTATTTATTGTGAAAACGCATTTCAAAAATGGTGAAAGTTTCACGAAAACAGTTTGCCAATTACGTAAAGTTTTCAGTCGCAATAATGCGTCGAACGAATCGACAGTGATAAACAAAAAATTCGTATCGGAGATAAGCCCTTTGAATGGATCGGACTGTCGTGTTTAGCAGATCCGCGATTTGGAGGGAAGATAACCCTTGTTCCCTCATTTGTGGAATCAGTTCCAACTGGTCGGTCGTTACATGCGGCATCGAAACTATCAAAATCTGTTTATGATTCGAAAACGACGTCTAACCTGACTTGTCATTCACTTACTGTGATTCTTGTTACGTTGGTTACGGGCCATACATTACAGAGGCGAAATGGTCTGATGTTTTTGCAAGAACATGTTTCAATTGTGTTTTCTCACGCACATTCTTGAGTACTGAGAGCGAGGAAAATATGGACGCATCCAGAATGCATCGTTTTTCCGAGAACAAGTTGATTTTCATTCAATTCTCCTCCCAACCGAGATTCGGAGGGCGTTCCAGATTTGGGTCACTTCCAAGAAAACTCTAGATCTTTGATAGCCATTTTGAGTCAATTCTGATATTCAGATCTCTTCATCTGAAATTTTATCTTCAAAATGAGCCTAAGATTTCCAAAATCGGTTGACGTAAAAAAAAGTTATGGCTGCAAAACCAAAAAGTTGATTTTTTGAGATCACCCTGTAAATAAGATAGATAGGAAGTTGATTCGCGAAATATTGCGAGGTTATGAGATCATCTTCATGCCTCTGTTGTCGAAATTGAGAAAAAAAAAATGTTTCACCATTTGAGAGCCTTTTGAATATTCCGAAATTTTGCACAGTGTCGAAAAACACCATGTAGAGATTTTATGTGAATACCCTCATGTTTCAATGAAGTACCAGATTATAGCTGAAGGACTGGGCTATCGAACAGTGTGAACCAAATTCAAATTGTTCTAAACTGAAAAAAGTTATTCACATTATATCAGGGGCGACATTTTGGTGTGCGACGAAATTAGTGTTGAGTAGTTTAGTTACGCCCTATTAATTAGTTATGCCTTTTTGGAGATTTCGTGAAACATTTTCACTTTTTATATATTTTTGTTCAATTTTTTCATATAACAGACGTAGGGCTTCACGCCGGAGTGTATCCTCGAATAGACGGTCATTCGCAAAGGGTCGGAAGAACCTTTTCCGCACGTGTTACAGATGTACGGTCGCTCGCCTGAAAGTAAAATGTCTAGTGTCTTGACGTGTTACGCCACATTCGTCAGTTACGCCCAATCAATAAGTTACGCCTCGTTAATGAGTTATGCCATTTCAAAGTTTGTTCAATCACTGTATCCTTGAAAGGACGGTCAGCCGCGAAAGGTCTGGAAAACCTTAGCCGCACGTGTTACAGACGTATGGTCGCTCGCCTGAATTCAAAATGTGTAATGTCATGATGTGTTACGCCACATTAGTCAGTTACGTCCTATCAATCAGTTACGTCCTATCAATCAGTTACGTCCTATCAATCAGTTATGTCCTATCAATCAGTTACTTCTCGTTGAGGAGTTACACCTTTTCAAAGATTTCGGATGAACAGTTTCACACGTGGCAGATGTACGGCTTCACACCGGAGTGTATCCTCGAATGGACGGTCAGCCACGAGGGGTCTGGAAAACCTTTGCCACACGTGAACAGACGTATGGTTGTTCGTCTGAAATTTCAATTTCGCCATATCACTTAGGTACGTCTAGTTAATGTGTTACGCCCCGTTAATGAGTTGCGTTCCATTAATCATTCACGTACTTTCAAATATCTCGTTAGACATATCTTTTTATGTAATTTTGTCCAATTTTAGAGAATATTATGATATCTGGTAGACATTCTACTGATAATAGGAAATTCATATATTTGTTTATACATTTCTTGCTCAGAATTATGAATTTGCTATTGTCCATAGTTATTGTAATGGCATAGGAAGTTGACTATTTGTGATTTGTGATGCGGGTAACTCAGTTTGGTTTTGAAGTATATTTTTGTTTAAATCTTCAATTCATCCCTGAATATGAGTTGAGGGTTGATTGAAGAAAAAATTATTTTTGAAGCACTTCCAAATTCACCTACCTGTATGTATTCTCTTATGAATGAGTAGATTGCTGGGAGTAGTGAACCCTTTCTTACAATATGGACAAATATGATCCTTCAGCCCAGTGTGTGTTTTCATATGCATTGTTAAAGATCCCGGCCCACATAATCTGAAAATAATACGAAGTTATGTACAAGATGATTCGTTTAGATATAATTAAAAGAAACAGTGTATCATGACTCAATGCCTTTTGTCAAAAACTATATAGTCGAGGACTAATGAGAAATATTAAATTCAACAGTGTGTAGAATGAAATAAAGAGAATGTTGAATGAAGTAATTTGATATATGAATATTTTTATTACTTACACAAATTTGAATAGTTTTTGTTTAAAATGTTTACCTGCTGCTTCACAACACATTCTTGCTCTTCTATTTATTGAAGACGTTGCTCTCTGAAGAGTATCTGGGTTATCTTGTATGGATGCAGTTGAACTCGTAATATTTATTATGAATTAGCTCATCTCTCGTTTGCGGTTTATTTGAATATACAAGACTTTTCATATATCCCCAAAGATGATAATCGAGAGTCCTTAGGTCAGAAAGAACTGGATGCTCATAACTCCTCAACTATTGGGTTTTACGTAAAAGTGTATAAGACACTTTCTAATGGATCATGGAATCTGCTCTTAAGCTATGGGCATCGAGTCACAGAACACCCTGTTTACTATTAATATAATATACAGGGTATCAAAAATAAATGAATTAGTGGGTAGTACCAGTAGCGGGTTTAATGGGGTCAAAGCAAACAACAATCAAGATATCATATCATCTCAAAAAATATTCACAGTTTAGCCTCGGTTCAGAGCATATTCTTTTCATATTATGGACTTGAGGTTATTTATTCAGAAACATTGAAATGTTATTGAAGCATCAGATCAACGTTGGAATTCGTCGGTCTTTTTGTATAAGATATAATGAAAATTCATTATGGATCTCACGAACGTCAATGTTTTTGCAACTAATAGAACAAATAAGCAACGATAAGCAGAAAAATTCAAATCAATCAACTTTCACAGTCATTTCATAGGCTTCTGATAACTGAAATTGCTGTGTATGGTGTCATTAAAACAACTAATTCAACATCTCCCAGTTATGCTTGAGCTTGATATGAATTCTAAAACTAAGATAATGCAAAAGATTTATTACTCAAAGAAGAAAATTAAGCAAATGGAAACTAGGGTCCTTTGATGTAAATTGACGTATTTGTTATATTAACAGGGTACGGACAGATCCTCGTCTCCTCTCACTCTAAAGTGTTTGTGAAATAGTTACATAGTTCTATCTTTATTCATTCCTGGGGATAAACAATAGATTTCTAACATTTGTTTTTTTTTGTAGGTTATATTGAGGACATTGGCGTAACATACGTAATTTCCACATGTAATTTCTCATTCAACTCTACATATTATATCCAAATGATGATGATAATTTTCGAGTTCTTAATTTTCAACTCCAGCATAACCTTTGTGAGGCAGTGAGCAAATTTTTCTGAAAGTTTAATACGTTTTACCAAATGGGACTGTTCTTAGGCAGTACCTATCAATAAATGAATTTTGATTTCAGACTAAGCCTTATAGTTGAGAAGTGGTGAAAAATGTTATGTAGGTTAATGTGCTCATATGTCATGTGTGCTGTATATATTCATGTTGGGAATCATTTTTGCAGTTTTAAACGAACACTTAATATTTCCTGAATGTAGGTATAGTTTTTTAAATGGCAGGGCATGTGCCTCTTCTCTTAATCCTCCGTTTTAATCAAAACTTTTTCTACTAAAATGCATTCAAAAACTTGTGAAGTGGATAATTATAGGTACAATGAGAAAGTATATTTGTGATTTCGTATTAGTTTTACCTCGAATATTTTGCTGATGTATTTACCAATTTTTCCCATTCAGTCACTTGACTTTCCATGTTCTGAGATCATTTGCATTTGATGGAAAGCTGACAAATTCAAATTTGCGATTCAACTGATTGATACAGCATAACGCAGCACAATTTACCTTCCCTCCAAAACATAATTGAATAATGCCGTATCAAGATCAAGTATGGAATTAAAATTTTGTAAGATCTCTTTTAACGCCTATGAATGTGACATGACAGCAATATCATGTCAGGGACGCCAATACACGAAACCGTGATGATTAAAAGAGAAATGAGCTATGATCTGTCCGTACCCTGTTAGATGACAAATACGTCAGTTTGCATCAAGCGACCCTAATGAAAACAACTTCAACTTACTTCTTCCCGCAAACCGAACATGTATGTTTCTTGACAGCACTGTGCGTTTTCGCATGCGCCGAGAGGCTCGTACACCTGGAGAACGCCTTTCCGCACAGATCGCACACGAAACTCTTCTCGTTTGCGTGCGCGCGCATGTGTTCCAGCAACCTGAATAAGTACCCATTCAGGTAAAACCAGCGAAGAGACATTAGAGAGTTGAAGTGTTGTCATGAACGTTAACGTAAACGTAGAAATTGACAGCTACGCATGCGCATTTTCCAATTCTTCACGTTTGCGTTGTTAGTGGGCTTACGGGTGTACGTTATCTCACGTTCCTTCACGTATACCTTTAATATCAACGTACGTTAACCAAACGATACTCGAAATATGCCGATGAGTCAAAATTATCAAATTCGAGATCACTAACGACTTCTGCATCAAGGAGTCCTCTAATTTTGACAGAAATAAATGTTCGAATCTAAACACACAACCAAAAATGACCAATACAAACCGAAAACAAAATGTATTATTACGTTATGATGACAGTGACGACCAAAGTGGCGACTTCAACTCAATTTAACGACAATACGTAAACGTTATTTTTCGTACGTTAACGTCTACAGTGATCACTTCAACTCTCTATTATACAAGAAGGTGCAAACAAAAAAGAGCGCGAAACTTGCATGCTACAGAATTCTGTAGAAAAAAAGTTCATAACAAGCGAGCGAAACGTGATGAAACCTCCCGCCGCTAGATGCGTGGCATCCCACATTTCATGTCAACTCGAGTAAATGCCACGTTGTCAAGATACCCTGAATGAAAGTCTTTGGTGTAATTCGGAAGAATTCGCTGTTGAAATAATATTTTCTTTTGATTAGGAAAATTATTGATCGATCAAACAAACTGCCTTGACAATGTTTTTGGATTACAGTTGGGTTGATTAATCTATTTAAAATTACATGAATATTATGAACTTGAAAGCAGTTCGCCCAAAACTGAATTGCCTTTTACAGGAAACCTGATTCCTCTAGAATTCTACAATATATCAATTCAAGATTTGTATCCAGAAGCTGTTTAATTGAAATATAAACATACAAATGCCCCATGAATTTGATAGCTATGGCAACACTGTTTCACGTTTCCGAATCTTAAAAAAATCCCTCCAGTGTGGTACGATTTTTTTCGCGAATCATAATCTGATTGTCAGTGGGTCGTTTTGAAAAAAAAAAACATTTCGTTTTACAACTTCCACATTTTTTGAAATTTGAAATGCTGAAATTCAAGAAATGGTGCAGCAACGTTTGTGCTGTGAATGGGTGTTTTAACTCAGATTCCCCAAAGATACTGATAGGTAGGTATGTATGTAATGTTATACAAATATAATAAAAAGTCTAATGAGGATGAAAAATATACTATATAGTATATTCGCAAATCAGATTATTTCTTGGAAAATTTCAAAACCTTTTAGCTAAAAAATGAAACGTTTTAAAACACAATTGTTCTTTGAAAAGTGTTGTATTTATTGTGAACAAGGAATATTCTATTCTACTTATGACTTCCAATCTTGAGACACCTTTACTTGAGCGTAACCATAATGGTCTTTTCTTCACGAAAATTTCAAATGTTGAGCTATAAATTGAGAGATGTGTTTAACAAGGAGAAGTGTGTTCATCCGTGTGACTCGTTTCCTAAATTATATTTATTGAAACTCTACACACGCTTGAGAATTTATTATGCCATAAAATTTGCGAATCAAAATTTCAAAACCATCACGAGACAAGGGGAAAAAACTCACAGAAAAATTGTTATTTGGAAACATGAATGAATAAGGCGAGTATATTACAGGTTTTTTATAAATGATTGAACCATCGTAGTGATTTTTGAAATGTTCCCTTCATATGCCACTTTTTACTTATGGAGAATCTAACATTTGTATTCCATATCTGACAATCATTACTGTCATATATTTAGATTTCCTAGAGATTTTCCATAGATGAAAGGTGGCACATGACATTTCAACTACCACTACGATGTCACAATCATTCATTGTAGCCCTGTACTCAATATGTATGTGAATAAAAATTTATGATGAATATAATTTTGTTTTTATCCCGTTCAGGAATTCATTTCCAAAAATATCCACACGAATTCTTGCTAAACTGCTTTACTTGCTTTTCATAGTTTATTAATGAACGAATTGACATTGCATCCAAATAGAGGCTGTTATTAAATATTCATGAAGGCAAAACGAAAACCTGAATCAAAATTATATTGGTCATTCATGATTAATAGTTTTTATTCCACTCATCTATTCTACTTCCCGTGCATTAAGTACGCCTATGCTCACTCAATTCGTCTACATGAACGCCAGCGAATTCATAAACAACGCTGGCGGTCTAACGTTAGCGAAATCTATTAGGCGGAAGCTCAACTGCCCGCCAAGCACGCCAATAGACGTGTCAAGGTCATCCGTCGGCATTTCTCAACATCAAAGGAATTTCGGAGCCTGCACCTTCTTGTATAATGTCTCTTCGCTGGTTTGACCAAATTGTTGGACCGTGAGACGCAGCCTTCAGACTGCTTCAAATTTTGGCACTAGACGCGTAGAGTCCGACCACGTTAACTTTGGGACAGCATGTGACGCAACGCATATGGATATTCAATGCATACGCGACCACGTGCTGTCCCAAAGTTATCGTGGTCGGACTCTAAGTGAGAAAGCCCGTGTTGCCAATTCACCTGAACGACTGCGCGAACGCCTTGTCGCACAGCTTGCACGCGAACGGCTTCTCTCCGGTGTGCGTGCGCAGGTGGCGCGTCAGATCGTCGGAGCGCGTGAAGCCTTTGCCGCAATCGCTGCACAGATGGCGCTTCACCACCTCGTGCACTTTGACGTGGCGACAGAGCGTGCTGGCGCTGGAGAACACTTGGCTGCACACTTTGCACGTGTGGCGGGACGATTTCGAGTGGACCTTGGCGTGCGCCTGGAATGGGCGATAATATAACTGGGGCCCGATTCTCGAATCTGTAGGAATTCGACCCTATTCGCGAGATTCACGAAGTGGGCGACATCTAGGTTACATAATACAAACTTCAAACTGGGGGAAATCAAACTGTTGTCTATGGATTAAGGGCATAGACTACATTGCTTGCTGTAGCTGTAGTCAAACTTGTCAATGACATAAAGTGTTGGCACTGTTGGTAGTGATGATGGTTGAGTTGGTTAATTTTTTTTACATTATTACATTTTTATTAGCATAGTGAACAGTGAACAGGTGAAAAATTGGAGATAGTTGGGATTGAGTCAATTGAGTGAGGATTGAGTTTGTTTTCCCCCAGTTTTGACGTGGCTTTGACATGGAACGATGAAAACCGAGCGCCACCTGGTAATTTGCGACTGCGAGATTATTATGTATTGTATATTTACTATATTTCCTCTGATCCAAAAGGATATGGATACAAACAATATTAAAAAAACACTTGGTGGTAGAGTATTAGCAAAGAGCAGACAAGACTTTTAATAGGAATAATGGAGGCCTCTGAGGACCTGAGGAAAGGAAAATTTCACCCCTAATTCACTTACAAGGATTCTAAAATACCTATCAATTTTCTAGTAATGTCTTTGGATTAACGAAAAACTTTAATAAATTGTGCAGCAAACAAACACTCAATTGGTCCCTTCTACGCAGAAACCTTCTTCTTATTCTTCTAGCAAGGATTTCAGCCACTTCCAAATTTTGTAAAGCCTCTAGATAATCTATTTCATCTATGTTTGCCATGTTTTGCAATACATATGTTTTTGAGTCTTTTGAAAAGTTATAACTGTTTTGTGCCTACCTGTATAACGTTTCATAGTAGAAGAATAGATTTCTAGAACACTTTTGTGTGAAAAATATATTCTTGGTAGAGGTCGCTGCGAGCAACTGTTCTCGAGTTATTGGGATTCGAAATAATCCACGCATTTGAATTATTTCCATGTGGCTCGTAAAGCGCCTCTAGTGAATATCAGAAAAAAATACGCCAGTGCATTTTTCTTCTTTCATTCAATATTCTCCTACATTCAACAATGGAATGTAGGCAAAAAATGGTTCTTACTTCCTTGTACCTACTATTTTGGACTCTTCCAATTTAAAAAAAATACAAACAAGTTAGTACTTGTCATGTTATTTCAATCAATCTATTATAAGACACATACATTTGACATTACTTGAATGTTTTGGTGATGAACTATGCAGGTTAATATGCTTTTACCAATACACATAAATGATGATTTGTTTACGTTCAATGTTAACCCTATTATAACCATTGTCATCTTAACAGAGTACGGACAGGTCCTCGTCTCCTCTCACTCTAAAGTGTTTGTGGAACAGTTATATAGTTCCATCTTTATTCATTTCTGGGGATAAACACTAGATTTCTGACATTTGTTGTTTTTTAGGTTATATTGAGGACATTGGCGTATCATACGTAATTTCCACATGTAATTTCTCATTCAACTCTACATATTATATCCAAATGATGATAATTTTCGAGTTTCTGATTTTTCAACTCCAGCATAATCTTTGAGGCAGTGAGCAAATTTTTATGAAAGTTAAATACGTTTTACCGAATTTGACTGTTTTTAGGCAGTACCTTTCAATAAATGAATTTTGATTTCAGAGTTCAGACTAAGCCTTATGGTTGAGAAATGGTCAAAAATGTTATGTAGGTATTTAAACTGATGTGCTCATATGTCATGTGTGCTGTATATATTCATGTTGTGGAGTGGATAATTATAGGCACAATGAGAAAAAATAATATGTGATTTCGTATTAGTTTTACCTGGAATATTTTGATGATGTTCATTTGCATTTGATGGAAAGCTGACAAATTCAAATTTGCCATCCAACTGATTGATACAACCTAATGCAGCACATTTTACAATTCTTCCAAAACATCATTGAATAATGTTGTATCAAGATAGAGTATGAAATTGAAATTTTGTAAGATCTCTTTTAACGCCTATGAATGTGACGTGACAGCAATGTCATGTCAGGGACGCCAATACACGAAACAAAAGTCACTAGATGATTGAAAGAGAAAGGAACCCGTACCCTGTTAGATGACAAATACATCAGTTTGCATCATAGGACCCTAATAACTGGGACTACCGGACGGACGATAGGGGCACCTGCATTTTTCATCCATTTTTGACAGGCGTGTATACAAGGAGGGGGGGGGGCATAACGGGGGTAATTATCAAAAGAAGTTCTGTGTGTCAATCAAAATTAACACTAAAAGACTTACACACCATGATTCTTATTTCATTCAACATGTAACTAGTATCTATCTAATCTATTTCATCCTGAAAAATGCCTAAACTGCAGCATGCCAGATCGCTGAATTTTCTGCGTTTTTCCATAATGTCAAAGAATTAGTAAGTGTGGCATCACCTTCCAGGCGAATGGCTTTTCTCTGGATGGAATCTGAGAGCATCAGCATAATGTTTTGGGTGCTGAACCCCATATGTGAAAACAGTATTCAAAATATTCAGATTTTTCTTCAATGTAATATTTAGTGAGCCCCAAATTGCAATGGTTATTGAAGTAAATAATCATATACCCAAGATCATGTAACTATAGATTTGACAGGTAATATCAACAATTAAGTAAACAATAGGTGTCAATCTTTGTTTGGTGGTTTACTTGTAGTATCCAAAATTTGAAATAAGAATAAGGGAATCATAGATATTGTGAATTTAATTGTAGAGCCATAATCTATTGTACAGCTGATTGGGAACAGAATGTTTACCTATTTGACTGTGCATATTTTAATTCAATTTATCAAGATATGTAAAAACAATTTTAAGTTATATTGTTACTCACATGAAACTTCTAATTGGTGAGAAATGTCAAGAAATAAAAGCTCCATAAGTGACAGAAAATAAGCAAAATAAGCTGGAGTCTTTGAGATGAGAACTGTCAGAGAAGTACTCTGTTTATATTGGTTTACATTTCATTTTTGTGTGCTCATTGGTCACATCCCTCAAAACAAACTAATCAAAAGTGTTCAAATTGTAGTGAGGCAAGGAGGATTTTATATCATGAATACACAAATTGAAAAAAATTATAGTGTACCACCATGGAAATGTTAAACAAACTGTTTTTAACTTGGTAATAAATAAATTTCAAATTCAATAATGACTCTAATTGCTTTTTTTTGATAACAATGAAAATTACTGATGAGTAATGATCCAAAATCCTTGGTATTTATTCAAAAAATTCTGGCATCATTTATATTTTGTGTATAAAATTCAATATATTAAAATACTTCAATTATGGGAAGAATGTCAAAACTGAAAAGGTATTATTTACCTTTAAATCCACCTGGGTAGTAAAACACAATGTGCAATCTTCACATGGATAAATGGGTTGTTCAGTTTCATCTGTAGTTATGTTTTTCAAGGATTTTTCATCTTGATTTCCTAAATCAACATCATCTGCTTGTTCTTGAACTTCATTAGTGTTTGTATTTGTTCCATCAAAATCTAATGAAACAAAAAAGGTAAATTATACTCATTAATAAATCAAGTAAGAGCTCAATATTTACTTTGACCTGCACATGACAGGATCTCAATTCCTACAGGATCTTGGGACACCTTTGAATCAACTTCTTCATCTGTAGACAAACTATCCAGATGTTCATCCTGAGGCACAACTAGTTCATCAATATCTTTAGTATCAACAGAATATTCATAGTTCACTGAATTAACATCTGTGATTATTTCAGATATAGGATTCATACATGATTCTTCAGTCAATAATGGTTTGAGTTCTAGAAAAGTTGGCTTGCTAAGGAGTTCTCTAAGAGTGTTTTCTGACCGTTCACAAAGCTGTTTGAAGGAATATGCTCTAGTTATGTAGTGAACACATTGCAGGCATACTTTAGTTGGGAACCCATCATTGACCATTTCCTGAAATATAAGAAATAAAGTGATACCAGAATCTAGGGTGAATGTTTTCATTTTTACCTGAACAAAGGCACAAGAAGTTAACATTTCAAATAAGCTGCATGTTTCACCTGTGGACTCATCCCCACTAAACACTGATTTCATATCACTTGCTTCTGATAAACAAGTTCTGCAGACTTTTTCAAATGGAATTGCTTCATAAGACATTATTCAATTTGTTGTAGTCTATAAGGGAACCAACTTTTGCATGTAATTATTTATTTTGGCTCAAATATTTACAACTCAGAACCACTGCCCCATCTTGTTCTCATCAAGCTACATTACACACAGTTGCACAGTACCTGTCTCATCTATGATTCTGGCAAGACATCTTGCTTGATAAAAGCAAAACAGAAGTAAAATACCTCTCTGGTAGAGGGTGTACCTAGTATTATTATTATTCAATGATTTTGATATAAAGAATTTCAATAATATAATTTTTAATTTGTTATTTATTTTGATTTTGTATTTGTCAAATCTGAAATGTCAAATACCAGTAATATGACAACATGAGACAAATATTTCACAAAGCCATGAGCCCATGAGGTCAATGGCTTGATTGGCTTGTGCCAGTTACTAGCTGTTGACACAAGAAGATATGACCCATATGACCTGAGGATTACCTGAGGCAACTGACTAGAGATGGACTAAAGTAGCCTTGAAAGCCTTGACTAGTGACTACAAAGGTGGATTGACTACCATGACTACCTATGAGTCATGAATCCCATTTACAGTGACAGATGACATATTCAAATATCAAATTATTTTTAAATGAATTTGAGAATTCCTCCAGTCAAGTACTGTTATTTATTATAAAGTCAGCTGACAAGTGCCTTTTCATTAGCATGTCTATAATACTTTTGTGTATACCAGCTTTTACCTTCTCTGAATGATTTCACATTTTCTGTCCTGTGATTGAGTGATATGATAGTATTCCAAAGAATCCAAAGACCATATTTTTAGTGGGTCTTATTTCTGCCAGATATTGCATTTCTACAAAATAAAGAGGGAATGATTGTGTTATCATAGATTTAAATCTATGGTGTTATTGTATTTAAATCAATAATTGAAAATGGGCATAAAAGGTTTAACAACATTTGTGAGGAACAAATCTCAATATTGTATGGAATCTTATGAATTGCATGACACAAATTTGGTGATAGATGGTGATGCTGTACTTTGCCAACTGTACTTGAAACATACACTTCACAGAAATGCATGTTTTGGTGGTGATTATGACAAATTTGGCAATACCATTTACAAGTTTTTCCAGATGCTCTCTGAATGTAAGATAACCCCTTATGTGATTCTTGATGGAGGCTATGAAAGCCGTAAAATGGATACAATATTAGAACGTTTCAAGATGCGACTCCAAAATGTTGAGATTTTGAACCCACGAACACAAGGGAAAAGTCCTTCCACTCCATTATTCATCAGAGAAACTTTTGAAGACATTGCTTTAAAACTAGGAATAAAATTAGTGAGATGTGATTTTGAAGGTGATAGAGAAACTGCAAGTATTGCAAAAGCTATAAACTGTCCTGTGATGAGCAATGATTCAGATTTTTTCATATTTGGTATTCCCTATATTCCATTTCTAAGCTTGAAAATGAATGTAGTCAGTGGTGGACCATTCAAATACATTGAGTGTGAAATTTTCAGTGCAGATAAATTTGTTGAATGCATTGGAGGTCTGGATAGAGAAAGTCTACCACTACTGTCTACCATAATTGGAAATGATTTCAGTAATGGGGTTGATTTATCAAAACTGGGATTGAATGAAGACAACTCCAATGGATCTGGAATGCTTCACAGAATTGAGGTTTTGATTTCCTGGCTGCAAAGAGAAAGTCACACCAGTGCAATGGATAAAATCCTGAAAGCTTATGAAGAACCTGAAAGGGAACATATCAGAAAAGAAATGGAAAATGCTGTCAATGGATATACTTTAGTGGATAGTCAGTACTTGAAATATCTAAGAGAAGATTTAGTGAAGACCTTGGATATCACTTCTAATTTGAAAAACCAGGATGACTTTGAATACAATACTTATGAAAAGCTTGTACCTGCTTTTCCCAAAGCATTCATAGAAAATTTCAGAAAATCCTTATACCCCACCCGCTTTCTTGATATTCTCACACAAAATAAATATTACAATTTCAAACCACAGATAGAAATTAGTAATATGGATCACACACACACAGGGAGCTTGGACATCATGTCAGCTGTACACAAAATACTAACAAGCTCATCCAATAATTTGGTTTGTTTAGTTAGAATCAAAAAAGATGTTGGAGAAATAATTGTGCCAGCATGTGACCTAGATATACCAAGTTTTGCAGACATCCAAGATATGGATTTGCAAACAAGGAAGAAGCTGCTCCTGAAAATTCTTGACATAGATGCTTCTTTTGTAATGGATGATTTGAAATATTACCCTAAATCTTGGTATCTTTTCATGTTCACTCTTACATATATGATCAAGAGATCTTCTATATCTTGGCCTTTGGTGTATTCTGCCATTATTTGCAAAATTGCTATAAGTTATCTGGATCCACAAATAGGATTTTTTCGCACAATTACTGACTTTGATAAGCAGTTTTATCAACAAATCAGTCATAAGTTAGACAACTATAGAAGGAGGACTAGACCATTGAAAAATAGACTGCAAGAAGCTTTCAGTGATATTACTTATGATGATGCATTACTTGCTATGAGTCAACTTATTCCCTACTTTGAAATGGATCCTCAACTTTATAATAATCAGTCATTCCAAAGACTTATTGTTCATCACATGGGAGAGTTTCAGAGTGTCCTTTTACATGTGAAATGTTTAAATCAGTTGTTGAATATGCCATTTGAAGATTTTCTCATTTCAGATTGTTTCAATGGCACTTTCATTTACAATTTCACAAAAGGTTTGAGAGAACAGTATGACCTGGATGATTATATGAAATATGGTTTAAGACATTCTCCTATTGTGTGCAATTGTTTTGAATTAGTTGTTGATACACTTAAAAAGAATACCAGTGTGCATTTGGAGAAGAGAAGGAAATTTTGAATGACAGACTTAAATGAGGTACAATGAATGGTTGCTGATATGTTAACTTGAAAAACTATGCTACACAAATTTACAGATGATAGAGCATAGTTTGATAGTTATATCATACCTATAGTGGGTAATGATTACTAATATTGAAAAATATTCCTATTAAAAGTTCCCAAAACCATTTTGTTACTTTACAATTTTTTTAAAACGATTTTTAGGATTGCTCTTCGATTCTTGATCATAATTCAACTAGTATTACCTTAGCCATCTTCAACTCCTGAAATTAAAATTCAAATCCTTGATTGGAACATGCTGATGGATGCCTGGAAAATCTTGCTGGGGCTCCTTGATAGATCAAGCTCTTGAGCCACCTTGTTATTCATTTGATATATAGTTATGTCTCACTAAGTTGGAACGGAACCATATTATGGAACTTTTTTATTATTCAATTTAGAAAAACGGTTATTAAAATTTTTCAAAAGCACCATCAAAAGACTTATCAGTCAAAGAGGTTGAGAGGAGATATCAATGATATCATAGGCCATAATCATAATAGAACATACTTCTTTGGCAAGATTTGTTCAATTTGCTTTTTGCCTTGGAAGACTGTATAACAATGTAACCACAGCACAGCTACAACAATGTGAAATCATAATTCACGCAACGTACGGTGCAGCCAAGGTGGATATATGTAGGTGCAGCGTTAAAAATGTAAGAATTGAGAGGAATAATAATCTGTCAAGTTAGGTTAACAACATTTTTTTAGTATTATCTTGAAAATCGATAAAAATTGTGATAAAAAGTCTGTAATAAAATGCAAAACGTTATAAATAGCGTGAAAGGAACAGCTTTAGCTGTTGGAGAATACTTGACTCCAGTTTTGAAGGTGAGCTGACCAATGTTAGTCTAGTATGTCTTAGCTATTATTTATTTTTTGATCTAATTCATATTTTGCAGGAATCGAAATTCAGAGAAACTGGAGTACTTACACCTGAAGAATTCGTTGCTGCCGGAGAACACTTAGTACATCATTGTCCCACCTGGCAATGGGCAGGGGGAGACGAATCTAAGGCCAAGCCATATTTACCCAAAGATAAACAGTTCTTGATAACCCGTAATGTGCCATGTTCTCGTAGATGTGAACAAATGGAGTATTCCCAAGAGTTGGAAAAAGTTATAGGTAGGTCCATCATAATATGGTTATGTATCACCATTTTTAAATTACTATGTTATGTTCTGGGTTTTGTGTAGAGTCTGAAGATGCTGATAATGGATGGATAGATACCCACCATTATGACAAAGAAATGACATCCTCAGAAGATAAAGTGTCTGAAATGACAGAGAATACTAAAGGTGAGAGCATGGAAGAGGCTGCACTAAAAGATAATGGAGATGAAGAGGATGAAGATGATGAGGATGAAGAGGCTGCTGATATGGAAGAGTTTGAAGAAAGTGGAATGCTAGAGGATGACCAGGTCAGTTCAAAATTACATCCATCAGAGAAACAATACACTGGCAAAATTGGTTTGAATTGCACATTTAGTTGTTGAATACCTATAGTTAGATATCCACTTTTTTCAGATAGCAAAAGTAATACAACCTAGTGAATTGACCAAAAGTAGTGAAGAAGGTGGAGAAATTTTACATACAAGAACCTATGATTTGCACATTACTTATGATAAATATTACCAAACTCCAAGGTTATGGTTAACTGGGTATAATGAGGTAAGACATAGTGTTAGTAAACTTGGATCTATAGGATTGCCTGCCACCAACCTGAATAACCTGGCATTGACAGGGTAAATTGAAATTCCAATAGTGAAAAATAGTCAGGGAAACTTGTACTACTCCATCAAAAGTCAATTATTGAGAAGGAACTATATATTTGAGTCAATCTTCATTCAGTCCAGATAATCCTATAAAATGGGCACCTCTCTCAAACATAAACCATTTGGTTATGTTGTCCACCATATATTTTTCACTATTATCATGTGTCTATACATTTTTTGTAAAACCACCATGTCAATTGGAAAATAATGAATATGAATGATAATGAAATTATCTATTATTTTTATCATTACAATCTATAACCATTTTCTCTTTTCCTGAAATCTAAAACAACACCTCATGATAACCAATTGGTGGTTCTTTCTCACTTGTGCATTTTACAAAAACTCACTATTTTCACAGAAACATGAACCATTAACTGTTGAAGAAGCATATGAGGATGTAAGTAAAGACTACATCCAGAAAACTGTAACCATGGAGACACATCCTCATCTAAGTGTACCAAAAATGGCCTCAGTCCATCCTTGCAGGTAATTAATTTCAATCATCCTTAGGTATGTACATATTCAAATCTTTTTTTACATAAAACTGGGTCAATTGGATTCAGTACCTAATCACTCAACTTTACTTCCTATCATTCACACTTGAATTTTTGGCTAGTAGAATAAATCTCTACTAGATTGATGTTTTGCTACCATCACCATATATTCCCTTTTTCAATTGTTTTTCTAGACATGCTGAAGTGATGAAAAGCATCATTGAGACTGTGATGGAAGGTGGTGGAGAATTAGGTGTCCACATGTACCTTATAATATTTTTAAAATTTATGCAATCTGTAATTCCAACAATTGAATATGATTATACTCAGAACTTCACTATGTAAGTAGATGCATTACAAAAATTTTGAAATTGTGCAAAAGCTTGGATTGTGTTAATTTGTTATAATATGGGCCAGTTGCTTGAAGCATTGGACATACCATCAAATATTTAACAAAGCTCAGAGTCTGTTGAATTGATGCTGCATGCAACCTTACAATAAGCCATTATTCTTCATTTTATCATATCTTTATATTTTATATAGAACTTAAATATTTATACTAAATATAAAATTGCTTCAAATAGATTAAATAGATTTTCATTTTCATACATTTACATGATTATTATTAGTCATGAGACAAAACACATTTCAATAGGTAATTGAAGAAAGTTTTTCATTAATTTTAGAGGTAACACATTGAAAATGATATTGAAAACCCATCTCAACTCCATTGATGAAACAATTACATATATTGAAGTTGTAATTTTTCTTTGAATAGATGCTACTTGAACTTCCTTTGAAAAACAATAATTACTACATTTACTATATTATCATTATTCATTTTACCTTTTCTTTTAAATTTAGGTTAATTAAAAATGTGTAAAAAAGTATGACAGCTCAACCTATCAACCCATATATTATACATATATTCCAATTCAGAATTAGAAATCCCACAAAAAATATATTACTTTATTTACAAAATCATTTTTATTTTTCAATTATTTGATCTAACTGAGCAATGTGTTCTAGAATTCTAGGATTATATGGATGAAACTAGCTTTTTCAACAAACTCCTTCTATTGCTCTTTCAACAAAATAGTTAAGGTTGGTACAAATACATTCTATATAGGAACAACAAGAACATTCTAGGGGTTTTTATATTATTGCATAGCTATTTTTTAATTACTTTAAGGCCTCTAGCTGCAAGCAAATCTATTTAGAATCATTTGAAATTGATTTTAATCTCCCTCTTTTGATCAAAATGTCATATTGATACAGTCTATCATCCCCTCTTTAGTCTCCCTCCCCATTCCAATATTGCAACTAGCTATTGAATTCATAATTTTTCCAATCCATATCCATGTATATTTGTTATACTATAATATCTCAACTGTACATATAATTTTCTAAAGGATACAAACTGTGAATTGTAATGATTAGATATCATAAAATATATTTAAAACGAATCTATGAATATATGTGACTCCTGAGCCAATTCATTTGAAGTAAATATTTAACTGTTTGCACTAACCTAATTGAGTCGTTCATCGGTTTATTACCACAAATTATTCCAATAAAAACATATTAATGATTTGTTGCAGCAATAAAAATGCCATATTTGTAATACTTGAGGTTTTTCATTAGTTCATCAAACTATTTTGCATTCATTTTCTAATTTGCTCTTCAGAACATTTGGGTTGATCAGTGTTTATTGTATACATGTACGACAAGAAATAGTAAGTGCAACTATCTAACAGTAAGTAGATACCTGTCACACCAAGTAGGTACCTATCTTTACGTTCTTTATTTATTAAAAATGTTAGTAATGAAGGTGATACGTCAGAACTGCCTTAAGTCAGACGGGTCCAAGGTTATAGTTTGCCCAAAAAAATCGTAACGACTCTTGGTTGAATTCAAATATTTTTGACTAAGCAGAAATAGAAATATTCAGATATACACATGACTATCTCATATCACAATGAAAAATAAGTGATTGAAACGGCGGGCGGTTGGAATAGATATTAATCCGGGTGCATGAACCCGTTACGAATTTTTAGGGCAGCACTGTACATTGTTCAAGATCAAGTCAGCTAAACCACATATATTTGTGCAAGTTTTAGTGTAGTTGGGGACACGTTTCTCCTAAATGAATTCAATCTCATACAATGAGTAGATAAAATATGGAATCATAAATATACTGGGTGAGTCTGTGACAAACGGAATTAGCAGTTTCTCCAATAGAACACCAAGTATATTATTCAGTAATATCAGGTTTGATAGTGCTAAAAAACTCATCAATACTTATACCTATGAGTTTAGAGGAAGTTAAAATGAGTCGACCCGTTTTAGAAAAGGATTTTTTTTGCTATATTCATTCAGTTGTTGACTTATCCCAACAATCCAGTTAATTAAACACAGCTTCAGTATTATTCCAATTTTTTTGGGATTTTCTCTCCTCGTTTCTATAAAATAGAAATATGGATATTATTTCAATATACCTGTAGTAAGGACAAATCAGATGATTTGCCCCAAAATGTCACTGCGTTTGAAGAATTTTCCTATCAGAGCCTAAAAGAAAAATTCAATAGCTTGTCAGTGACAATTTGTATTGAAAAAAGTTTGGAGAAGAGAAATAAAGGTATATAGAAAAAATATCAAATTTTCACTTATCTTTGGACGTTTCGGGACCGATTCTGCTCCCGTTCTCAACATAAGAAAAGATTATTTCAATAGCGAAGTCGTATCTGTCTTGAAGCTTTCCAGTTTTCATTGACAATTAGTGACTTTGGCAATCAAATGAGTTACAGGATGTTTTCATTAATTGATCTTGAATTTACCATTGCTTCTTGTTCAGTTGATATAGACAGAACATGGTATTCACTACTAAAATCTGAACATGAAAATGGTAAATTCAAGATCAATTAATGAAAACATCCTGTAACTCATTTGATTGCCAACGTCACTAATTGTCAATGAAAACTGAAAAGCTTCAAGACAGATACGACTTCGCTATTAAAATAATCTTTTCTTATGTTGAAAACGGGAGCAGAATCGGTCCCGAAACGTCCAAAGATAAGTGAAATTTTGATATTTTTTTATATACCTTTATTTCTCTTCTCCAAACCTTTTCCAATACAAATTGTCACTGACAAAAGCTAGTGAATTTTTCTTTCAGGCTCTCTGATAGGAAAATTCTTTAAACGCAGTGACATTTTGGGGCAAATCATCTGATTTGTCCTTACTACACTTATATTGAAATAATATCAATATTTTTATTTTATAGAAACGAGGAGAGAAAATCCCAAAAAATTTGGAATAATGAATGTACCACCTCCTCGATTAACCTACTGACATGTCTGGCCTGTCAATTGTATTAACTGACAACTGCTATTCTCAAATCTTGTATCAAAACTTCCATCAGCTTTGAAAAGTGTCAAATCACATGTCAAGATTAGAGAAACTGTTTTAATTTTATTGTAGTAGTTTTGATCTTTTATATGAACAATTTGGATACCGCATTTGCTACTTGACAAAACTCTTCTGAGGATATCATTTGAATGTTTTGTAATCTCTATATTGTTCCATTTGTTTCCGGTAGTAAAGATTAGAACCTACCTACATTATTTTGTTATCTTATGAAACATGCACTCTTTTGAATATTGATAACTGTGAGTACACTCACGTGGATACTGAAGTATAAATGTAGGTATGTATTATTAATTATAGGTAGACACTACTAGATTCCTATACTTATATTTTCAAAATAGCAATATTTGATACATATTATCAAGCTATTGTATGTGGTATTCTTTTGCTCTTTACATTTACTTATATTTTGTGTTCAAAATTAGTAGCTCAATAGTCTACGGTGTACCTATTAGAAAGAAAATTAATCATTTCTGTTTATTTCACCAACAATGATTAATTTCAAAGATATACGTTTTATAAAATATTTCGCAAATGAATCGGTTTGTAGTGTTATTTCAAGTAATTAATTATTTGTCTATCTCCGAAATCGAAAAAAAAAAAACATTGCAGACTTACAGCTTACGGTGTTTTCCATAAGAAGATGATGATTATTAACATTTCGACACTTTTTTATATTGAAAATGGCAGTCTTAGTGAAATTATCCTAGGGAATGATTTGCTCATAAGGTTTTAGGAATATGATTTTTATTAACTCTCAACTATCTGTGGAAACTAATCTATTATAATAAATAATAAGGTAATACGTTTTGATCACAGGGACCATCATAAAAAAGTTCGAAGGATTCATTACAACATCCCCATTTCACAAAATAACAACAACAACACATGTAGGTATTTGCTAAAGCTAAAGGTAGATATGTGTTTTGATCTGGAAGTATTTTGAATCAGAACATATCATTTTGCCGACTGGCGTATTCCTTTCTTTTGGAAATGACTAGAAATATAGCCATGATAGCAAAAATACACAGACCAAATACCGAGGCTAACAGTATAAATCCCTTAGATGAAAATGTCATACTTCTATTAATCTCAGAAAAAGTAGGTTCATCTTGTGGCAGCTGCACTCTGAACTGAATCTGAGATTCCCAATTTGTTGTGGCATTTTCACCTATTGATCTTCTATTCCGTAACGGTCCAGCATTGGCATCATCACATATACCATTCTGAAAAAAAAAACAATGCTCAACTAATCTCCGTTGAATTGGGTTTTTACATTCAGTTACTTCACACAGTTTCAATTACTACTTTCCTAAAGAATATCTCTTTTCCATTTGCTCCATGAACTTCTAGTATGGCCTACGTATCTTCATCCGCAAAAGTTGATAGTATTAATGTCATCAAGTTCATTTGTTTACTTAGAATTGAAAGGAAATATGATTATTCTTGAATTTTGATTAAACAGATTTTCGAAAGTCTTTCACGGTTAGGTTAACACATCTAGTAAACAAGTAAGCATTTGAATATTTAGTTATAATCTACTCCTGAGAACGAAAAAATTCAGTTTGCGAAACGAGACGTCGATAAAATCGGTTTGATACCCTATATTATACTCTTTGCATATCGATCATCCATTATAATAATGATACCTACGTAAGTGAGTAATCAATATAATACTGTTTGGTTGTTTATTATTATAAGCAAAAAATTTACAACTATCAACTACCAATTACAACACAATGAAGGTTGAATTAGGAAAAGGCGGAAACTAGAAATATTTCAGCTAGATAGAACACATCCTAAGTTCACACCTACTCTACAAATAAACTGAGCAAAATAAGTTTTATTACTGACTTCTCAGATCTCTGAGAAAACAATCAATACCTAATTTGAAGTGTATAATACATGTTGTGTGTTCATTATTAAAAGTGCGTTGTTAGGTTATTTCTGTGTCTATGTTCTTTGCCAAAGGGTATGTATGTAAACTGAATAACTGATAGTTCGGAATTTCTTATTATATAGGTAAGTAGCTGACTCTTACCCGAAAACAGTCGTGGGCATTGAGACACCCTAACATTTTGACAGAGAGAACCATATCGTCTCCTTTAGACGATTCTTGGAAGAGGAATGCTCGAAAGTGGAGAATATTGTCCAGATGAGTCAATTGACGTGGTTGAAAAGGACATATATTTTTCATTCCAGCGCTCCTGCAACCATTTTCTTCGACAAGAGTGATGGATTTCTGAGAATTTGAGCTTTTTATTATTACAGGTCCCATTCGGCTGAATTTCCATCCTATAAAGAGAACATACAGGCTGAGATAATTATGTTGGTGAGTTTTGATTGAATGCCACCCAGTATATAGGGTGTGACATTTTGGTCATTCCCCATCCCTGTACTTTCATATTCCTAAGGCATCTTGAATTTTTTTCTCTCATAATATACTACTCAAAATTATCTACTTTGTCCAGCAAAAAGAAATTATCGAACACAATTTCTTGGCCTATTGCGATCACAAAAACTCGAGCAAAATTAAAGAAAACGAATTAGGCATTTTTATACGGAAATTTTGATAATGAAGGCATTAGGTATTTAAAAAAAAAATGATAATGGCAATCGATTCGGACTAGTCACAAATACTCCTATATCAATTTTCGAAACAATATCTCATGAGGGGTGTTTCTTATCAACGTTACAATTTATGAATAATTGCAATTTTCAAGTTATCCTGTAGAGTAATTCTTATTAGAATTTGAATGAAACACTGCAAGGGTGTGACATTTTGATCATTCCCCATCCCTGTACTTTCATATTCCTAAGGCATCTTGAATTTTTTTCTCTCATAATATACTACTCAAAATTATCTACTTTGTCGAGCAAAAAAAAAATTATCGAACACAATTTCTTGGCCTATTGCGATCACAAAAACTCCAGCAAAATTAAAGAAAACGAATTAGGCATTTTTATACGGAAATTTTGATAATAAAGGCATTAGGTATTTAAAAAAAAAATGATAATGGCAATCGATTCGGACTAGTCACAAATACTCCTATATCAATTTTCGAAACAATATCTCATGAGGGGTGTTTCTTATCAACGTTACAATTTATGAATAATTGCAATTTTCAAGTTATCCTGTAGAGTAATTCTTATTAGAATTTGAATGAAACACTGCAAGGAGAACATCTTCCGATAAGGCCTGGTTCAGTAGAAACTGCTCTAGAGCTGTTGCTTCTAAACAGGCAGCATTCCATCGATGGCAGAAAAATCCAGGCCCTGAGACTAGAGCAGAATATGTCGAGGCTATGCATATGCAATGAGACAATTCGATCATCAAAGGATGCTCATAATGCCAAAATAAGATCAAAACTTGTTGAATGTCCTAACGGATCCCGTTTATTTTGGTCCTTCGACAAAGCTGTAGGAAGAAACTTCACTTCCAGCTAGTTTCCTCCTGTAAACAAGGAAGATGGAACACTAGCCACAACTGCCCAGGAGAAAGCCAACATTTTTGCGCATTTATTTGCTGAAAATTCCACTCTTGATTCATCGGGAAAACAACCTCCAAACATAACGCCGATTGACAGTCATATGCCCGAGATCACCTTTCGCCAACATACTATAAGGAAGATTTTATTGGGTCTCAACACCAACAAAGCTTGTGGCTCCGACGGAATCCCACCGATTGTTCTCATGAAATATGTGCTCCCGAACTAACACCTGTTCTCTGCAAATTATTCAACTACTCTTACAAATTGGGGATATTCCCGTCCAACTGGAAAATTGCAAGAGTACAACCAGTTCCTAAAAAAGGCAGAAAGACCCTACCTAGCAACTACAGACCGATCGCACTGCTATCTATTATTTCGAAGATCATGGAGAAAGCTATCAACATCGAGCTCATGAAATACCTGGAACATTCTAGTATTATCAACGATAGGCAATATGGCTTTCATCATCAGAGATCAACTGGTGACCTGCTCGCTTACGTCTCACATATATGGCAGCAATCAATTGAAAAATATGGTGAAACCTTAGCCGTGGCACTTGATATCTCCAAGGTATTCAATCGAGTCTGGCACCACGGACTCCTCGCCAAGCTTCCATCTTATGGCTTGCTTCCCCAGCTATTTTCTCTGCTAGCTAGTTTTATCTCAAACAGGTTTCTCCATGTAGTGGTCGACGGAGTTTCATCTGACTCACTATTTCTACTCCATATCAACGATTTGTTGGAAGCAACTTCATGTCCAGTACACAGCTACGCGGATGATAGTACCCTCCATACCGCCTTCTCTTCCAGAGCTCCAATACCAGCCAGGCAAATCAGAAACGAACGAGGGAGAAATGTTGACAACATGAATATGGACTTGGCAAACAAAACACAAGCATGCCTTTTTTCTAGAAAAGCCGATCTCACTGTGCCCAACATAAGCTTGTCAGGAGTAACCATACCTTTGAAGATATCCATTTCGATGCCTGGTATTACTATCAGCAATAACTTTTCTTGGGAAAATCCCAAAAACTTGGTTTTCTGTTTCGGACCAGGAGCTATTTCACTTCCAGTCAGCTGCTTATGATCTATAAGGCACAGATCCGACCTGTCCTAGAATACTGTTCCCATATTTGGAGTGCAGCACCCAAATATACCCTGAAACTGTTGGATTCTGTCCAAAAATGGAAAATTCGTCTCATGGGTGATGCCTCGCTCACTAACTCACTCACTTCTCTGGAACACCGTAGAAAAGTTGGCGATCTGGCCCTATTTTATAGATATTTTCATGGACGATGCTCTTCTGAAATATCAACAATTGTTCCTCCCTTGGCAGTCCCCGCGAGATTAACCCGTCGATTTGAGGCTTCGCACCACTTCGTGGTCACTTCGGAGACCTGCAGAACATCTCTTTCCAAACACTCGTTCATCGAACGAACAGCGAGGCTCTGGAGTAGATGTTCCCCGAGGCATATAACCTCCAGAAATTTAAGAAGAACACCAATGGGCGTGTACACCTTGGTAGAACTTTTAAGTCAAACCATGTTTATAATGATCCTTTGATACATAAATAATGATTGACGACATAATTCGATCGAAAACTAACTGGGCATATTCTATTTTTGGGCATAAATAATAGTACCTTCTGAAAACTGACCCTCTTATGACGTAGAAACCTCATCTCGCCATAGTTAAAAGAAAATACCAAACGCCCGACGGAGACTGAGGCAACTGGTATATTGATTCTTTCAACTGTGATCTCGCGCTAATTCACTCTGTCAGAAATCATGTATCATTCATCTCTGTCTGGAATAGTCTTGTTTCAGTATTAGGGTTTTGACGTCACATCATCGCCTCGTTTTCAGAGGTCCGAAAAATCGGGGATTCCAATAATTTTTTATAAAACGTAGGGAGCTCACAGCAAGAAACGGTTTGCGGTGGTGAGCTAGTTTGGGTTAGTTCTATCGAATCATGAAATAATTTTTTTTGTGATATAAGCCCATTCCTACCTTATTTCTCTTGGTTCTCACGATGTTCTCTGAACATTAAAGGATATCCCTTTTCGTGGGAACCAGAACATATAAAAGGCCAAGAAATTGTGTTTGATATTTTTGTTTGCTCGAGAAAGTACATAATTTTGAGTAGTATATTGTGAAAATAAAAAAAATCCATATCGCCCTAGGAATACGAAAGTACAGCTAGTGAAGGGGTGGACCAAATTGTAACACACTGTATAAAAAATAATGATAAAGTATGGTACTTGCCATCACCATCTTGAACTATGGCCCGGAATACTATTTCCTCTCCCAAGAGCACTACGCTTCCGGTATGAAGCGGCTGGTCGAAATTATTGCTTCCTGGTGATTTCCGGAGCAACATCATTCGACTGTGGAATTTGCTCTGCCCACCCCCATTGGCCACAACCGCGTTACTTGATCTTCCTCTGTTCATAACTGATCTAAGAAATACATAGAATTAATTACTGTAAGATGGTTTGCTTCAGGTTATCAAGTTTAGAATATTGAATAAAATAAATGGAATCTATCACAAATAAACTTCTCTGGATATACCTATATGGGCAAAAGAGATAACACTTTCAATATCGACTTCTTCAAGCAAATCATGCTCTATATTTATCAAAGTGAGATGATTGAGACTTTCTTGGTCCATCTTGCTAACTCATTTTTAATACGTTAGCATTTGCTACTCTTGCTAATCCGGCACTGAGAATATTAAACATACAGTGTCCAGGAAATATGAACAAATACTCAGATCGAGGGTGATTCGAAAGTGAAAGGTGTTCCAGACCAACGTACCATGAATTCTACAGGGTGAACTAGAGAACAAAATAGGCCAATTGAAATCAAATTACCTTCATAAGAAGATGCACCGTTGAGCCGTCAGAGGGCGATGGAGAATAATTTCTTTGCTAGATTTTCTTAAATATTTTGAAATCTCCGAAAGGTCGTACTGCTCTAAAATTTGTAGGTCAATTTAGTATCTCGAATGTGTATGACAAACATGTCATACCAATTTAATCAATATACAGGAAGATGTGTATCTAAATAACGCCGAAAAAATTCAAGGGTTGATTCCTTGTGATATTCTAGCAAATGAAGTTCATATAAACGTGTGTCCTAACTTGCTCCGTTTTTAAGATACAGGGTGTTGAAGTTGGAAGTATTAATTGTTTTTATTTCTAACTCCCCTGTATAAGCTTTCATGGTGCCAAAACTCAGTATGGTTGGAGACTGCGAAAAGCGACAAAATTTCAAAAGGATTGTAATTGGGGTTATTTAGTAATCTCAATAGAAGTCTTGAAAACACCTACATTTAATTTGGAGTCAAATCGAATTTATATTGTTTCCTCAAAAACCAAGCTAGATACAAAAATCACACAGGGGATAAAATAGTTATTTATGCAACAAGTGCAAAAAGTGAATGTTTATTGCACTCGTTGCATACAACATTTTTTCTACGTTCATGCAAAAAGCAAAAAATGATTTATTGAGGTGCGGCACTAGGTGTAGGAAAATGAAAAACGCAACTTGAATACTTTATTATTAATATCGATTTGCATTGAAACAGGAACTAATACGTTACGAACAATTTAACTCAAACTTTATTTTCACCCTCAATGTTGAAAGTGAATGAACAATTGGTGCAATTTTCAATATGAATATATGACGTTTCTATAACCACAGTTGCAATATAAAAAATGTTTGTCATGATGACAGCACGTTGAAGTAGAATGACAGATGAGTGCAATAAAAACTTTATTGCATCAAGTGCAATAAAGAACTTCTTTTTACACTAAATATAGTTCAATAAAGTTCTGCTTTTTGCATGAATGTAGAAAAAATCAATTATCTAACTTTTCAATAAATGCAGTTTTTTATCATTCTTGGTTTTCGAGATATCTAAAAAAATACGTTTTGGTGCTTCTCCATACTAGTTTATAATGTGAGGATTATCTATCATAATTTGAAAATTTCTACACCATTTGTGTTGAGTTATTGACCACAATATTTATTAATACCATTTCGTAAGCTCTTCATCATATGATCTGGGAACTATGGTCGTTTCCAAATTTCATTCTTTTTTCTTCTCACAAAAAACGAGGAAAACAAAAAAAAACTGAAGATGGCCAACAACTTTATCATATGCTAAAGTAGTTTATAATAGAAGACCACAAGGGAAGAAGGGAGAATGTCACAAAATGTAAGTTTCGAGAAAAACGCATTTCAATGTTTAAAATCTCCTTACTTTTTGCAAGTTGAAGGAAACTGAAACCAAACCACCTGAACTCATTTGATGGAGTATATATGAGCAATAAAGTTGAACAACCAGAAATAAAAATCAAGTCGAAAGATTCAAAGGAAAAATTGTCAATGTCCAAATAAATTGTCAAAAAACTGGAATGTTCACTCGCAACTATCTGCTCTGGTAAATTTCTCCATTCTTGTCTGACTACCTAATGAGCGGTAAGTTGTCATATAGCACCTCTATAATTCGATCATTTTCTATAAATTCAATTCCACGCGATATGAGTAGGAATCATCATGTAGCAATCTCATTATTTTATTCCCATCACTCAGACGTACTCGACAAGCCCAGTCAGCACACCTTCTTGTCGTCAACCTCGAAATATGTCGAACAACTCTTTACCAAAACTCGTTTATACATAGAACGGCAACGCTTTGGAATTTTTTGCCAAACAGAGTATTCCTAAGAACTCATAATCTCCAAGAAAAATCCCAATACCTAGGTACCTCTTCTTCCTATCCTCCCTAGGTACCCACGATGTTCCCCGAACATTATAGGGATTCCCTTTCGTACGTTCCAAGAGATGATGAAAAGGTGGCCTTATCTATTTTTTTCTCATCTTCTGTTTGCGTGAGAATTCACTTTGATCTTTTCACAGTGTGAAAACAACCTTTTGATATCACAATGGATCTGTATTCAAGCAAACACTAAGCTTGGACGTGGACATTCCGCGTTTTCTCCATGTGAACGTATTTTCGAACGAGCATATTAGCTGACTATGCTGCGTTATTGCTATGGACTTCTGTTTATTCTAAAATATAGTGGTTAGGCTATCAGATGGTGATGTCAAGTCAATTTCCACTATATTGTGACATTCCCCCTCTTTCCCCTGTGGTCTTCAAACATGATTATTGTGGTCGGTGATAAAATGTCTGCATTCGGGTTTCGCATCCCAAAAATACCTTGGATACCAATTCTTGAAGTGAAGTGAATATGTATTGAGATGTTGTACAGACCTTTCAGGGTCACCCGGTGTCACCATTTATACAGGGTGAGTCAAAAATGTGTACCCTGCTTTCTGGAGGTGATAGTACATTGGAAAGGTAAATTCATCAGTAACAATATTTTAGTAGGCCTCCAACTTCTTGGCCGACCACCATCTCTATTTTTCGTTTTGAAACATTCTCTATCACGCAATCTTTGCACAATCCTCAAAATTGTTCTAGTATTTGGAATGCGTCAAGCGGGAATCATCTCTGCATCACGAATAACCTGCCATTTCCTAAAATCTCATATGTCATAAACGTCAGAATTGAGAACAAAATTGGTCATGGCTGCTAAAATATTGTCACCGATAAATTAATCTGATGATATCATGTGACTTCAAAAACTCAAATATCTCGAAAACGGTTGAATTCTTCCTGTGCTGATAAGAGAACCTTTTTCATGTAATTTTCTTCGCTTTATCAAATGCTTCTGTTTTTTCCACCGAAAATAATACAGGGAAAAGAGTTTTTTTTTGCAATTGCATTACCTCGTTGGTCCCACGCCCCATAAGTCGAAACTTGTGTGGGGTTAGGTAAGCATACAGACAGAAACATCCATGGCCTAACTAGGATTCGAACCTATGTCTCGGTGGGAGTCCCCATACGAACTCAGCGCATTCACGCTCTCGACCACCGAGCCGCCTTTCAGTTGTCTTCAAAAAATCATGACTTACCCTCTAAAAAGACCCTTCATAACTATAGCAGAAATGTAGAAGTGTATCAGAAAATTGTATTTCATCAACAAACATTCATGCAGGAAATTTCTATTTTGTGGCTTTTACCGTTTAGAAGTTATGCGGAAAAATATTAATCTAATCAATCTTCCTTATTACACATTTTGGGCTATTCTCCAGAAAGCTATCGGTACACATTTTTGACTCACCCCGTAGATACTTACGTGGGTCCAAATCGAATATGCTTCGTATGCGACACAGTACTATCCTGCGGGGCACACTGCATATTAACCACCAAATCCTCCGGCAACTTCAAACCTCGCACAGTCGGAACCCTCACGACCGCGCACATACTGGCCCTAGAACCGATCCCCGAGGAACACCTGCGCACCCCGCACTCCGTCAACTTCCTGACCCCCTCCATCTCCAAGCTAAAAACCCCGGCAGACTTCTGCGCTATGCACCCCTCCGAACCATTATCCACGACGGGGGTGGGTGGAAAAGAACCCCTGCCGTCCAACCGCAGCAGGGTTTTGAAGGAGGTGTCCAACACGCAGGACATATTCAGGATTTTTATCTGCGGGACAGGAGCTTGGTAAAGGGGCACCGAAGTAGGGGAGGGAATCACCACGGTGTCTTCGTCGCTGAAGATTTCCGGAGGGGTAGCTAGGGGCGGGTACAAGCCAGGGGGTAGGTAGGTCGGTATTTGCACGGGCGGTAAGTCCGAGGGGATGATTTCGTCTTGGAGTACGGGAGGTAAATACACGTTGGAGGGGGTTGACGGTTCTTCGAAGTAGATTGGCGGGATCGGTTGGGGGTAGTTGTAGCCCCCTAGTAAGCTGCTCACGTCAGCGAGGGCCGTTTTGGATGCGAAGAACAACAGTAGTAGTGCGCGAAACATTTTTGAAGATTATGGGATTATTTTCGATGCCTTGTGGTATTTATAAGGTATGGTTATCGAAGAATCGTGACCATCGCATTGAGTTTGGATGCTTGTTCGTCCCAATTCATGTAATTGGGCGATACATTGGAAATTTATCGACACTTTCTTGATGTCTTTGTGATGTTCGACAACCGGTTCAAATTAGAGGACAATGATGATATTGTTATCGATATGATTTATATGCTAATTTATTTATCTTTTGCTGCCTTTCTTTTGGTGTTTCAGTGAGTTATATGCATATGTTCTTCATATATGCGGTTTTGGACATTTGGTCAATGCATTTGGAGATGATTTGAAATAAAATACAAATTCAGGTTTAGATACTTTCTAACGGATATTCAAAAAATTGATAAATCAACTGAATCATTGATATGTACGACTGTACTTACCTACTTCAAATGCCAATTTTATATGTTCAGCATTTCCGAATATATACAGGGTGTTTCCTAACTACGGTTCCTAACTGCAGAGGGTAATTTGTTAGGTCATTTTAAGAAGAAAAGCTTCAATGAACATATGTCCGGAGTTGCTCCGTTTCTGGGATACAGGGCGTTGAAATTAAAGAAATAGAAAACAGTATTTTAAGAAATATCATGAATATCCTGGAACCGATTTGGTTGAAATTTGGTACTTTTATTTGTCGAATTTTCTAAAATTTCAGCACATCAGGTGTCAATTATATTTTTGGCGGAAATAATGAAAAACACATGTCTCCAATGCAGGTGTTCTTGATATGCAATACAGTGGCTTTAATTTGTTTTCTCGAAAACGAAGCTGGATATGAAGAAAATACAGGAGACCAAAAAGTTGTATTTTGAGTTGCTCAACCTGAGAAAGAATGAGAATTTACCAAAAAAAGTCAGTGGCGTACTTTTTTTTACAATATTGTTGGCTGTGGTGCCCACTGAGACGCAACTGGCCCCAATAATTCCAATCAAAACAGTTCCAGGATATTTATGATATTTTATAATTACCTTTTTTTTCTTCAATTTCAACGCCCTGTATCTCAGAAACGAAGCCACTCCGGACATATGTTAATAGGAACTTTTCTTCATAAAATGACCTTACGAATCACCACGTGCAGTTGAGAACCGTAGTTAGGAAACACCCTGTATATAATGACTGAATTTATTCATACACGTTAAACATTTTCGAGTTGTTTTTAACTTCAGGTTCACACAACTTTATTGTGTCAATACAGGTTCACACCGAATTGTGTAACCATTTCATAGTCACCCTTTGAATTATATTGACACGAAATGTCTCGGAGGTATGAAAAATATTAGAGAAATCTTTTTTTTTTTCCCTTGGAGCGCACGAAAGGAAATTCCTATAATGTTCGTGGAACATCGTGCGTACACAATTCTAACTGAAATTCAACAAAACTTGAGTTCTTGATAAAAATATAATTGTGCATTTCTATTTTGAAGAAATTCTTCACTCATTAGGATTTTTCACCGTGTACAAACTCTGTGAAATAGTTATTTATTATACAAGGGAAATAAGTAGTAGATTTTAGCTCCAGGTTGTGTTGCCTCCCGACGCGTAGCATTTCTTTTTCGGAACTAGCACAACAAAAGTGTATACAGGGTGAATCTGAAAGTGAGTTTTTTCAACAGGATATATATCTCACCAAAATAAGTTGTTTGACAGAAAATTGTTCATATATAAAATATTCAAGATAACGCGGAGGTATAGGTATTTAAAGGTTTCATGAAGACTCCAGAAACCATCGTGTTTACATTTTCTCAAAAAAACGCAGAAAAACCATAATTAGTCCTGCATTAGATACCCCCCTACATTTTCAACCTATTAATTTTCGTTTTGAAGTGATTTTTATATTATATTTTCTGTAATAAATCTTGATAAAACCAGATTTCCAATGTACAAAACCTTAAAATATCTTCAACTCCGTAATCTTACATTTTTCACATACACAAATTTTGGCCAAACAACTTATTTTGGCGAGATATATACCCTTTTAAATAAAAACCCTCACTTTCAGATCCACCCTGTATATATATCCGGGAAAAAAGCTCCCGTGGGAAGAAAGTAATTTATGAAAAGTGACATTTTGTAACCTGTCAACAAAAAAAAATCAATGTATCTACGCAGTGTCACTCAAATTATATTTTTTGAAAATTGTAATGTGTATACCAAATACTCCGAATGTAATATTCATGCGTACATAGTGTTTCCAAAATCGGAGCGTTAATGAAGTGGATGATAAACCACCCTGTATATTGATTTATAGGGCGAAAATTTTGACACCTTTTTATTTTATGATTTCATAATAGCATATGACCAAAAGGAACGCACCCACATAGCTACCTACCTACTTCAAAAGGTGTATAACAATAATAGGTATAATAGGTACAATTTGATTTTTGCACCTACCGCAAGACTTTTAACACCTTTGATATATGAATACTTTTACCTACCTATGCCCACTATCTTATTATTTAGCCTACTTTTTATTCATCGTGTAAATAGGTGAATGAAAACGAACTCAAAAACCATCTACTTTCAATTAGTTTCATTACTGATAAGGGGAAAATCGTTATATAAACATTATATGATACGGTATCATTCAAAAATATTCTCTGTTCAATTTATGTTGCATGTGAATGAAAATTATTTTTTCTACAAGCGTGCGTAATTCACCCTATACCCGCACGCAATTTAGTTTGGGAAGTGTAATTTTCCCGCAACATTGCGGGAAAATTTTTCCCACACTAGTGCGGGAAATTTTTTCCCGCACTAGTGCGGGAAAAACAAAGATATGATAATATGGCAAAATATAAGTGGTAGGTGATGAAATATGAGAGTTTGAGTTTGTTTGTTGCAGTATCAAGTATGTATGTTCAGAATCATCCATCAAATTGCACTATTTATTGTGAAAATTAAGAAATATTGAAAAATAAAAATGGATTATTATAAAAATCCCCCTTAGATTTGGATTGATCTGATGGAAAACGATTATTGTTGTCATGCCAATCAAACCTCAAATGAGTTTGTAATTGTCGAAGTGACAGGCGGCACAGCGTTACTGTCATTTTCAATTCAGTGGAATGGCCACAATGTGATCAAAAACTTCCAGCTATAGGGATGCGATACAGATGCGGTATTGCCAACGAAGTCTCAAGAAAGTTATGAGAAGCTATATATACACGCGTTTTATTGAATGGTGCAACAATAAAGAAATGAAAATACCGAATAAAGAAGATGTATTTTCGGATCACTTCCTAGAAGTGTCTGAAACCTAGAGACCAAACACCTTATGGGCCTGCTGGCTTCCGCAATGAACCTATATACATAATGCGTCAAACTGTAAGTTCACAATAGCTATTACTAATAATCAGTAGATAGAGAATATATTTCTCTTGTTAGTTGTTCCTATATGAATGAATAATTGATTGAACAAATCAATCAATTTCCTACGCTTGTAGAAAGAATATTGTTCCTAAATCATCCGGAAAGTGTCTTTCCCGCACTCGACTGCTTGCCCGAACTCCGCTACGCGTCGTTCGTGTAAACGGCAGTCGCGTGCGGGAAAGATTCACTTTCCACACTTGTTAGAAAAATTACTATTTCAAATTGAAATGGACGGATTTTTTCATAGGCACCTAATTGTTTTTCATTAGATAGTATACATACATATTATACTCACATATTTGAATTGAATACTGTTGAAAACTCAAACAAACAACAATTTTCAACAACATTCAGTAAAACAATGGTCAAAAATGTGTTGTATCTAGATCCTTTATGGAACAGCTTTATTGTACTATTTTGTTTGGCGGTATTTGGAGATAAGTGTACTAAAAAGTTTTTCGAACCCTTACGTAGATCACCTCTGGTACTATTTTTAACGCACTATTAGAAAGAAAATTCACACTCATGATTCTCTTTGTAGCGCCATTTTCTGTGTCGTATGCTATACTCAACTTATACTATCGATACTCTAATCACGTAATCTTCCTCGTACATACGTTTTATTTATGCTAATCTAGTTGATAGAGGTACCTATTTAGTATTGGAGGAACCAGTCATCATTTTATTTATTCATTCAAGAGCCCATCATTGTTGGTTGTTGTTGCTCTTTTGATAATAAATAATGTGGATCGGTACTCATCTACTTTTTTTTCTATACATGTTCCTCGTTTTTAAGGACCCTCTGTTGCATGAGGACTTCAATTAACGTCAGTGAAAAATAATGACATAGTTGGATAATTAGGAGACGCTTATATAAAGTACGGGTTTTACGACGAGGCAATTAACAAAAAATATGCTACAGTGGAACCAGTGGTGAGTTGTTTTCTCTAGTAGAAATCATTATTATGATTTTGGTGAATAACACTAAGAAAAGACGATAATTTTGCTTTGTGATTATTAATGATCACTTCTGTTCTCTAGCTAGAGAAACAATGTTTATAATTTTGACATGTGAAGAGGCACAATAGTTATTTTTGTATCTAGAGTGCAAAATGCTACTTTGGTGTTCAAGAACTGATTTTTTTAACGAGGCGTAGCCGTGTTAAAAAAATAGTCGAGATGACCAAAGTATTTCGCGCTCGAGTTGCAAACAATTTTTTTTTCAAACGTCAAAAAATATAGTTCTAAAGTAAAAATGTGCTTAGCTTGATATAAAAAATAGTATTGAACTGGCTTAAAAGGCCTCCCCCTATCCTCCCTAGGTACGCACGATGTTCCACGAACATAATAGGAATTTCCTTTCGTGCGCTCCAAGAGATAAAACAAAGTTATTGTTGAACATTCAGAAATGAATGATTTCGCGGATGTTTGCTCGATTGAGGACCATAAAGTTGAATTATAAATATCTCATATATTTTATATAACAATGCGCGAAGTAGGTACTTCGCGCACTGTTTTACTTCGCGCATTGTTTTGTGCAAGATATCATGGTAACGTAGGAAACTGAAAAAAAGTGTCACTTCGCAATTTGTTATCAATGCGCGAACCTTGTCATTTCTTGACGTTTGTAGAAAAAAATAACTGAAGTTTAGAAAGATGAAACTTTTCGTAACCAGTTTAGACATTATTGTACAAAATTATAAGACTGGTTTCTCTAGATTTTTGGGATTTTGTTTCCTCGTCTATAAATGAAAATATTAGTATTATTTCAATACCTTTACTGAGTTCAAATCTGATTATCGACCCCAAAATGTCAGCGCGCTTAATATTTTACTAGCAGGAACCAAAGGCAAAAATTCAATGGATAGTCAGTGACACCTTGTTTGAAAAATGTTTGAGGAAGTAAGATAAAGGTGTATTTGAAGAATAGATAACATTTCAATTATCTTTGATTGGTTTGGAAACGAAACGAAACAGTTGAACTTTGTGTTGTTTAAAAAAATATTTATACATTTCATTCGAGAATAACTACTGATGGGTGCTTTATCAACTTTTGAAGGCCAAAAAATACCTTGTTCGGATTTCAACACATATGAATTTCATCAATATTGGCTTGAGACCATTTTTTGAGAATCAGTAAAAAATCAGGTTTTTCAAGAAACCTCCTTTATCACAAAAAATAAAAAAAAATGTGTGTCCCTGCTAAACTAGCGAAATTTGTGGCACCCTATAAGTTCGTATTTTCATTCTGTATGCCGCGATAAAACAGAAATCAGTAAAAAACATTGGGCAGACCTTTTACTTCCATGATTTCCGATCAGACTAATATACAGGGTGTAATTTAATTGATGGCTAAAATTATAGGATATATGCTGCATTAGATAATTTTAATAAGAAAAGTTTATATGAAAATATATTTTCCGAGCAATTAAATAGGGTTTTATAATTTTATTTTCTCTTTACTATTGGTTAGAGAAATTTTCACAATTTGAAGAACTGTCACGGTTATGAATACTTGTCAAAATAAGACCGCAACATAATCGATTAAATGTTATTATTTTAAATACAACATAGGGCACCAGCCTAATAGTTCAAAATGATTTTTTTAAAGGTACCTACCAGAACTGCATGATAATGGTTTTTATTTTTTTACGCAAAAAGTGTGTGTCGGACGGAAAAAATCTGAAAGTCAAATTGTTGCAAAATAAATGACGATTTCAAAAATGATTTTTATTTCCTCAAAAGCAAGGGCGTACAATATTTTTTCAGAAAAATATCCAGTATACATCTCCTGCATCAAAAAATACCTATTGGTGCTTATTAGGTGCATGTCGAATTTCATGAAGATATCTAGAATAGAATTGAGGTTATGATAAGAAGACTATTTTTTTCTCAACACCCTATACCTCAAAAGTCAAGAGGTTGAGGGCCTAATGATTGTTCATATGAAATGTTCTTCTGACAATGAGCCAAGAAACCAATCCTTTATTTTCAGTCATCAATTAAATTACACCCAGTATATTTTCATACATTCATGAAGCATCAGTTTCCGGTATGAATGATGACCAGCATCTGAGAACATGACTTCGGCCGTATCAGTAGTAGTCACACCAGCGACAGGAGCGAACAAGGAAGGCCCTGTACGAACAAGGAGAAAACTCAGCATTCCTGCTGCTCTGTCATTAGCAGCTGGATCAGAAAATGCTGCGTTCAGAAGGCGATTCAGTAATGTCGGAGACGCTGCCAGGAAGTTATCCACCTCCATAGGGTTTGTATTGAACATAACCAGATCCGATGTAAAAACTTCACAAACGATAAGATTTCCACAAAATTCTCAAACACACGACATGGGTAGCGATGACAAATATGAATAAACAACAATGAATATAAAGACCTGATAACAAATTACATTATAATGACCATTACGAGAAGTTCTTGTAAAGTCAAGAGTAACCCCAAACCAGACTGCGGAACCCTCACATCCAATATTTATATACATTTTATAAGACTTGCGCGTTTCTCATGAGAGTTCCTTGGTCAGTTTTCGTAGTTCAATGTCAACGGGTGATTTGGTTAACTTTATGTTTATAAAACCCTCTTGGTTAGGAATCACTAATATACCGTATGTTCTACTAGTGACATGACTCCCCTGTCCGAGAAAACTGGACCCCAGTTTCAAAATTACTACCTACCTGAAGATATCAAGGATAACATATACCTTACATACATAAATGACACAAAACAATACATCTTGGAAATTGAGTTCATGCACTCAAAAGTTTAGTGTCTACAATGCACACTCACACCTTTACTGAGTCCGGCACTGGCTATTCAACTGAAGCATTTCAATCAGACTCTTCTCGGTGGGACTTCTGGCAGCTCGGGGGTAGTCAATGACGATTGGGCATGTCATCCTCCAATCGTCATGGGAATTTCGGCAAGATCCTTTCGGGCTCGAAAGTATCCTTGTCCTGGGCATTGGGATGAAATCTTTTGGGCTTCAGGATTTCCAAGACTGTGTTTCGAGGCAGTTTTCAGCTGAACGAAGGGAACTGCTGGCTTCTTGGGGTAGCGAATGACGACTGATAGTCATGGCATCCTTCAATCGTCGTGGGAATTTTGACAGGATCCTTTTGGGCTCGAAAGTATCCTTTGTCCTGGGCATTGGGATGAAATCTTTTGGGCTTCAGGATTTCCAAGACTGTGTTTCGAGGCAGTTTGCAGCTGAACGAAGGGAACTGCTGGCTTCTTGGGGTAGCGAATGACGACTGATGGTCATGGCATCCTTCAATCTTCATGGGAATTTCGGCAGGATCCTTTCGGGCTCGAAAGTATCCTTGTCCTGGGCATTGGGATGAAATCTTTTGGGCTTCAGGATTTCCAAGACTGTGTTTCGAGGTAGTTTGCAGCTGAACGAAGGGAACTGCTGGCTTCTTGGGGTAGCGAATGACGACTGATGGTCATGGCATCCTTCAATCGTCGTGGGAATTTTGACAGGATCCTTTTGGGCTCGAAAGTATCCTTTGACCTGGGCATTGGGATGAAATCTTTTGGGCTTCAGGATTTCCAAGACTGTGTTTCGAGGCAGTTTGCAGCGGAACAAAGGGAACTGCTCTGGCTTCTTGGGGTAGCGAATGACGACTGATGGTCATGGCATCCTTCAATCGACATGGGAATTTCGGCAGGATCCTTTCGGGCTCGAAAGTATCCTTGTTCTGGGCATTGAGATGAAATCTTTTGGGCTTCCAGAATTTCCAAGACTGTGTTTCGATGTAGTTTGCAGCTGAACGAAGGGAACTGCTGGCTTCTTGGGGTAGCGAATGACGACTGATGGTCATGGCATCCTTCAATCGTCGTGGGAATTTTGACAGGATCCTTTTTGGGCTCGAAAGTATCCTTGTCCTGGGCATTGGGATGAAATCTTTTGGGCTTCAGGATTTCCAAGACTGTGTTTCGAGGCAGTTTGCAGCTGAACGAAGGGAACTGCTGGCTTCTTGGGGTAGCGAATGACGACTGATAGTCATGGCATCCGTCAATCGTCGTGGGAATTTTGACAGGGTCCTTTTTGGGCTCGGAATGTATCCTCGTCCTGGGAATAAGGGTGAAATCTTTCCGGGCTCAATGATTCCTTCAAGATAATTAGCAGCTAAAGGATAGGAAATGCTGGCTGTTGGCAGTTGCTGTCATGACGGTACAACATCTTGGTCCATTCGTCGACTGGTACGATGGACTAGTTAGTTAGTTCATTGTACCAGTATATCACCTGATGAAGCTACTGTGTTAGCGAAACATGTCGTGTGTTTGAGAATGTTGTGGAAATCTTATCGTTTGTGAAGTTTTTACATTTGCTATGGATTTCCATCAAGTATAACGGCCGAGTCAGTTGAAAAAACCAAATCCGTTACTGGGTTTAACAATAAACAGCACCCCGCACTACACACTTTTCAATTATTGTAATTCAGGAAGAGAAAGTGTAACTTGTGATTCAGAATAATTAACTGTAATTCAGGATGCCTCAATTGTAATTAAGATTTGTCAATAATTGTTATTCAGAAAACGTAATTTGTAATATAGAAATCACCATTTGTAATAATTCAGAATCCACCAAGGACAAATAATTGTAGGTTAATATTCTGCTCAAGATACACGAGTCATTCTCTCAAATAGGTTCAACATTTTGAAGTATATGAACCCAAACGAAGGAGACTAGTAGAATACATAGAGATACGATTTTTTATACACCGTTTCCAGTATTGTATTTCAGAAAGCGTCAATTGTATTTCAGGAAGGGTCAATTGTATTTCCGGATAGTCAATTCAATTGTAGAAAGCGTCAAGTGTATTTTAGTGTATTTCAAGAAATATTAATTGAAATACAATTGACGCTTTCTGAAATACAACTGGAAAATGTGTAGTTTCTGAATTACACGAGTGAAGCTTTCTGAATTACAATTGAACAATCTGAAAGCAAAGATACACTTTGGGAAATACAATTTCCTAATCTGAAATACATGTATTATTATATATTACGTTTTCTGAATTAGAATTGACAAATCTTAATTTCAAGTTGTAATTTATGAATGAAAATCAACTTTTATGAATTACAACTTATAATTCCTGTTGAAAACTTCAAATTCCTCGTCGATAATTTTCTGATTTTAATATAATGTAATATCTTCTTAATATTGATTCGTCCTTTTTCCTCTCACAGAAAAACAGAAAAAAATACTGTATTAAAGGTACACGGGAAAAAATATTAGATTTTAGCTCACGGTTTTTTGCCAACACAACCTGGAGCTAAAATCTACTACTTCTCTTCCTTGTATTATAAAACCCTATTTTCAAATTACAATTATCGAAAGATGTGTGGTAATTTTGTCCGTTGCTGAGCAACAAACTTTCCCGAACAGAATACGATCCCGGAAAATCTTCGACGGTCCCTACCGGTTTTTTTTATATTTGGAACAGTAAATAAAATGTGATTGCGATTTCAGAAAAAAATAGTATGTGTACTTCGTGGTAAAAGCACATTACCAAACTTCAATGCAATATGCATTGTCGTCACAAAGTAACTATTTCCAGCCAAATACACTTGATTTGAATTTTTACCTATACCTTTTTCGATATGAGAATAGTGTACTATGCAATTTGCACTATCCAGTACACAGGGTGTTTCATGATTGAATGTCAATATTCGTATGACCTAAACTTCCTAACTTTTGAGATACAGGGTGGTAAAGTTCTCAAAAATTGATATAGCCTACTACAATGAGAAGTTATAATTCCAAAATACCAAATACGAATACGAAGTTCATAAACTATGATGAATTGTATTTCTGAAATTTGATCTAAAAAATAAATAATCTACTTCTCTGCATTGTAATATTGTCATATTAACGATATTGCTATACTCGTGTAGTGAAAAGCTTTTTATTTTTTTAAGCGAAAACCGTGCATCAGATTGAAAAAGTTGTAGTGATCAAATTTGCTTAGAAATGATTGGAAATTTCAGTAATGATTTCAATTTCGAGATTAATCAGTGACGTGCTATCAATGTCTGCCATAATAGGTATATGAAATTCCATACGAACGCCACTGGTGGCAACCAAAAAAAAATGTGGTACACTAACTGATGCCTCTTGATACATAGTACATGTATGCCAAATTTTATTAGGATATCTGAAGTGGTATTACAGATATTAATAAAAAACTATTAATTTTTGAGATCTTTACCACCATGTATATCCGTTACCACCGATACAACAAGGCCTGCATGCTCCGTGGGTGACGTCACTTAGTCAGGCCTAACCAGCGGCTCGAAACGACAAGCGCTTAAAGCGCTATAAGGCGACCGCGTATTTCGATTTTAGTTTTAGATCATCATTGAGCCGATTTTGCTGTTTTTTGAAGGGCTTCCGGTTAAAAAAGGATGCCAGTCGTCAACTGAGCCCTTCTTCGCACCCCATTCGATTTTATTATGGAAAAAAGTTTTAAAGCAAAAACCAGGATAAAACACAAATATCCACCTACAGCAACCCATTCGAATTAAATATATTTACCCACATTTTCGATAGCTCCTCGTCCAACGGGAAACTAAAAGCATGAACTTTTGAACCACCCACATAATTCCCCGAAAAAAGGGAACACAACACTTGAAAGGCATTGTTATTTCGCCGATCACAATACAAAATATTTCACAAAACAGTAATTTTTCCGCCAATTATTTTGATGAAAACAACAAAAGAATTCGGGACCGTTTCAAAAACATACGTGAATCACCGATGAATTGACACGAACTGACGCGTTAGTCGACAAGCGATAAAATAAAACACTGGCCTCACTTGGTGACGTCACGAGCTGTTTACGTCAGAGTCTGCTGGCCTTGTTGTATCGGTGGTAACGGTATATCTCAAAAGTTAGGACGTTTAGGTCATACGTTCATATGAAACTTTCTTCTTAGAATGGGTCCAAGAATCGCCTCCCCAAATATTGACATTCAATTATGAAACACCCTGTATAAATTCGCTATACATCTTTACAGATGGGGAAAGGCTGTTGGAGCAACTGCTCCAGAAGAGATCGTAGCAGTAGGAATAGCCATGTGTACGCTGTACATAAGAGCTAAACTCAAGCGATCTGGTGTCTTCAATAGAAAATTGGGCTTGACCAGAGTGAGAAGTGCCGTGGGTACCATGGAAGCTTGCAGCACTGTTGTTCGTGAAGTGTATCCAGGTAATGAATATTGAGATACAGGGTGTTCCTTAAAGACATGCTAATATTTAAGGGGTTGATTCTTTGACTCATTTTAAGATAATAACTCTATGGATGCATGTCGATGTACAGGGCGATGAAGTTTTGAAAAAAAAAACAGTTTTTTAATAATAACTGAGATAATACTGTAGACATCTTTAACAAATTTGGTACATGTCTTCTATCCCTAACAACACAGGAATGTCCTAGGTACGTCCCTTTTCTGTGTTCAGAAGGCATATACCCAGCGAGCACAAAAACATCCCAGAGATGTTAAAAGTACGAGATTTCGAGACATTGAACCTCCACTGCGATGTTCTGTTCACACATGAATAGAACTATTATAGAACAGCCAATGTCCGCCGCAGGCGGCAATTATCGAGATGTCCTTGATATGTCACAAAACTCCCTTCTCCCTAGTTCTTTTCAAAGCCTTTTCATGAACACAACAAAACATTTTCAACGCGTCTTGCGCACATTAAATCGCTGTAAAAAAACATTTTCGAGGTACTTTTCTGAAGCCTTTTGTCAAAATGAACTTCTGCATTAGGATTCCATTTCCCTTGAATGAAAAAATGCATTAAAAATAGATTGAACATAAAAATATTTTCTTGATATGAAATTACCTTCTCAATCGGTTTCTGAGTAGTGCTTACTACACACAGACATATAATTGGAAATAGGTTTCCCAATTTTTGAAATGTTCTCCACGATGCATAATTTTGCAACTGCGGAGAAGCTGTGTATTGATGAATTCGTACTTTCATATATTGATTACACTGAGGCACCGAAAAACACATCTTGCATCTGATGGTCATTATCACAAACTAAATAAGTCTTCTAACACAATAAACTTCACCAAATTCCTTTCTGTTCGTTAGCAGCGTGATACACGAATGCCAATTGCGAACAAGAAGAACAAAATCGAAAACAAATCAGAATTCATCGTATTGTGACGTAAGCATGAGACGTTGTGGTGGGGCAAACAAAGAAATGCCACAGAAGAACAAAAACAATACTTCAATATCCTTCAAAGACCTCTTTGGTCAGTGCATATTACGTCTCAAAATAACATCTTCATGCCAACATTTTCAAAACATCCCAGGGATGTTTGTGCTCGCTGGGTATTAGCCAATAGAGTAAGGTGCGTGCCTGATAAGCTGAAGGTCCCGGGTTCAATCCCTACTCGACTTACATTCTTTTTTCTTTCGTCGAAGGGATGTCCCTGGAATATCCTTGGGACGTCCTAGGGATAGCCTTCCTTCGTACTTGGTACATCCCAGGGATGTATCAGAAGGAAATCCCTTGGATGTCCTTTTGTCTGAAAGTGGATGTCCCTGGGATGTCCCTAGTATGTACTTTGTCCCGACACAGGATATCCCTGGGATGTCCTAGCATAAAATTAGGGACGTCCCTGGGAAGTCCCTAGGATTCACTTGTGTTGTTAGGGATGCATCAAGGTGCATGTTCTGATGTACACAAATTTTCATTTTCTCTACCACTGGCGCCGTTTGGGGGATATTATTGTTTATATTTTACTTAAAAGTGAGCAATTAAATATTAATTATAAAAATTCTTAAAGGTTAAAACTCGAGTTTTCACTATATCTTTATTATCATTCCCGCTAGACCCCAAGTGTGATAGATCGATGACATCAGCTCTTCAGAGAGAATCTGAAAACGGAATGATATACAGGGTGTCCCGTTGAAAAAATCGAAGTCAAAACAATCCTACGTTGCGTTCTCCGGAAACGTCTAATGTACTCACTGTGAATCAGCCTGAATATATATATCGCACACACTGTATGTATATGATATTAATCGAAGGTGCTGCAGAACAAAGTATACTCTGTATTATCACCAACGGTGGTAGATACTCTCGAGTGGCACATCTCCACGAGAGATCTGGTAATTTGCCTAGAATCAGTGAATACATCCTGATAATAGCAAATAGATTCTACAAATACTACATCGCTGGAAGTGACCTTACCCGGAATATCACAACTTCTGGGTACGGACAGATCCTCGTCTCCTCTCACTCTAAAGTGTTTGTGAAACAGTTATATAGTTCCATCCTTATTCAATTCTGGGGATAAACACTGGATTTTTGTTTTTGTGATTTGTTTTTTAGGTTATATTGAGGTCATTGGCGTATCATACGTAATTTCCATATGGAATTCCTGATTCAACTATACCAAGATATAGTTGAACAATCCTCAAGTATCAAACTCTGCTTTTCGGATCTGCAACTAAACATCACATATTAATCGAAGTACATTTAAATCAGAAAATTAATATCATCAGATGAAGCACATGGATGTTGAATCTGAGACATACCTGAATGATATTTTCATCGTCCGTAACTGGATTGCGACATATCCGCTTTCATTCCGGATAGTGGTTTTTCCAGTAGACATCTTCCAATTTCAATTACGTGGGTTATATTAAGGACCTTGCATGCCAAACAATGTGCTGTTCGGATCTAAAACTAAGGATCAATATAAAATTTGAATCGTGAGAACAACATGGAATATTGGATATTGTTTTCAATATTCGTAACTGGAACGCGATATATTTATGTAATTCATCAATTCATCAACTATCTCAATGAAGACGAGACAGGCACATAAACAACAATTTTCTCTGCAATGAAAAACACTGTAAATACCTAACCCACCATGCGCCTACCTCCTTTGCAGAGAGGGTTTATAAACGCCGAGTTGATACTCTCCCCTCGTAAGGGTACCTGTCGTGTTTCCATAGAGACATGAAGGTGAATATCTGTCTTATCTGTTTTCTTGAGAATCTGGAAAGGAAATCAATATATTACCTTCCGTACGAATACAATGATCTGAATTCTGTAAAGTATACTGTCAGGTCTCTTTGCGGATCTTCTGTTCGGTTCGTCTTGACTGGGTGGTTTTCTCCGATTGAGTGGCAAGTATCAAACACTGCTTCTCGGATCTGCAACTAAACATCACATACCTATTAATCGAAGTACATTTGAATCAGAAAATTAATATCATCAGATGAAGTACATGGATGTTGAATCTGAGACATACCTGAATGATATTTTCATCGTCCGTTACTGGAATGCGACATATCCGCTTTTTTTCCGAATTGTGGTTTTTTCAGTAGGCATCTTCCACATTTTCAATTACGTGGGTTATATTAAGGACCTTGCATGCCAAACAATGTGCTGTTTGGATCTAAAACTAAGGATCAATATCAAATTTGAATCGTGAGAACAACATAGAATATTGAATATTATATTCAATATTCGTAACTGGAACGCGATATATTTTTGTAATTCATCAATTCATCAACTATCTCAATGAAGACGAGACAGGCAGATAAACAACAATTTTCTCTGCAATGAAGAACACTGTATATACCTAACCCACTATGCGCCTACCTCCTTTGCAGAGAGGGTTTATAAACGCCGAGTTGATACTCTCCCCTCGTAAGGGTACCTGTCGTGTTTCCATAGAGACATAAAGGTGAATATCTGTCTTATCTGTTTTCTTGAGAATCTGGAAAGGATATCAATATATTGCCTTCCGTACGAATACAATGATCTGAATTCTGTAAAGTATACTGTCAGGTCTCTTTGCGGATGTTCTGTTCGGTTCGTCTTGACTGGGTGGTTTTCTCCGATTGAGTGGCAAGTATCAAACACTGCTTTTCGGATCTGCAACTAAACATCACATATTAATCGACATGGATGTTGAATCTGAGACATACCTGAATGATATATTTTCATCGTCCGTTACTGGATTGCGACATATCCGCTTTCTTTCCGAATAGTGGTTTTTCCAGTAGGCATCTTCCACATTTTCAATTACGTGGGTTATATTAAGGACCTTGCATGCCAAACAATGTGCTGTTCGGATCTAAAACTAAGGATCAATATCAAATTTGAATCGTGAGAACAATATAGAATATTGGATATTGTTTTCAATATTCGTAACTGGAACGCGATATATTTTTGTAATTGATCAATTCATCAACTATCTCAATGAAAACGAGATCTTCTGTTTGGTTCGTCTTGACTGGGTGGTTTTCTCCGATTGAGTGGCAAGTATCAAACACTGCTTTTCGGATCTGCAACTAAACATCACATATTAATCGAAGTACATTTATATCAGAAAATTGATATCATCAGATGAAGTATACCTACATGGATGTTGAATCTGAGACATGCTTAAATGATATTTTCATCGTCCGTAACTGGAATGCGACATATCCGCTTTCTTTCCGAATAGTGGTTTTTCCAGTAGGCATTTCCTACATTTTCAATTACGTGGGTTATATTAAGGACCTTGCATGCCGAACAATGTGCTGTTCGGATCTAAAATTAAAGAACCAATTTCAAATTTGAATCGTGAGACTTACATAGAATATTGGATATTGTTTTCAGTATTCGTAACTGGAACGCGATATTAATTATTGTGAGTCAATTGGGCTTCCTGATTCCGAATCCGAAGTGATTTTCAACCTATTTTGACTCCTAATATCATTTTCCGGAAATTGGGGTGGTTCCATGGCTGTTGGCGAGCAGTGTGTATCAATGAAGATTACCCCACTTATTCATAGAGTGCATTTTTGGTATATATCGCGCTCCAACAAATTTCAGGATCCCTACTAAACGAATATGTAAGATACAGGAGTGTTTCCATTATAAGTGAGACACACTGTATATGAAAATGAATCAAAGGAGTACCTTCTCTAAGATTTCTAGATGTATCGAGTGGTATCGGCTCAAAATAATAATAATCAGATTATACTATTATATATTATATACTATCACTCATAATAAAAAAAATTAAAAAACTCACCAGCGTGAAAAAGGTAAAAAATGATTTCTGCAATTCCTTTGTTTGAAATTTTCGATTTTCGACTAATGATGATAATAGAATTATACGGGGGGGGGGGGAGTCTATTACTAATGATGATTATACGGAGGGAAAAGAGATATATAGT